TTACAGGCATGAAGGCCTTTATAATTATCAAAAAAAAAAAAAAAAAAAAAAAAAAAAAAGAACTGAAGTTAGTTTATCCAGATTGACAGAATCTCTAGCAAAAAAACATGATCTGGTCATGCAATAATATTATAAAGTTATTGTAAAGTGGAAGAACTGCAAATTGTATCCACAGCAGCAGAGGGATGTTTGAGGATACACACTCCAGGCACAAAGCAATAAAAACATATGAGTATCATTTCAATTATGGCTTTCCAAAAAGTGGATTACCTTAATAAAATTTAACTAACCATGGTCTCTATTCCTCTATACAAAATTTGGAGCTGTCATAGTCACACTTGCTTGTGGCATTTATACTGTCTGCAGATATTATTTATACCATCAATTATGAGATTTTCCATTTTGTGCACAACAAAGAAAATCTAAAACAAGTGCACTGAGACCTAAGAAGTAAACGTATTTTTAAGTTTCATCCTATTTTTGTAAGAACCCGGTGTTTTAACACACTTATATTCACTTCTAGACAAATGGTCCACAGTCCCCGATTTCCAGTCCTAAGGCCACGTGGCTTTAGTGGCTAAGTGCAGTCCACGAATTCAAATGGTTGCCAACCAAGAGAATGATGCCTGATGGAACCCACCACCAAGTGACAGCTAGGGACTGCTATTCCAGGTGTAGTTACATGGGAAAAACAGCCACACCATCATCGGGACTACACAAGATGCCAAATTTCAAACGTATTTAAAGCCCATATGGAAAAAAAAATGGCATCATCACTGGCCAAGCACTCTTTGGTACATCCCACGTACTCTTTTCAACTGGTATGTTCTTGAGTCTACTGTGTGAGGAATATTGCTAAGATCTTGCTGGCTACTTAGGGAACAAGAAGAAAAAGGTACCTAGAACTGATAATTCTGTGTACTGAGCAAGATGACTGGAGGTCCTGAGCAAATGCTTCCCCCCAAGCAGCAACTGGGAAGATTTCAAGAGAATTCAGGATTATCTGGGAATCTGTAACAGAAAAGAGGATCTCATCCATTCCCAGGCCCCCCAAAAAGGGATTCTGAGGAAAAGAGATGGAAACGTCTGCAAAGAAAACTCAGGCCGCCACAGGGTGCAGGGGGTGGCATGTGCACACATGCAAATCTGCAGTGATGGGCACGTATCTCCATGCCAAAAGCAGGGAATGCCAAGCAGCACTGCCACTGGCAACAGGAATGAAGGTGTAAGAGCAGGTGAACGTCGAGACCAAATACCAGGGCATGTCTCGGCACCCAACTGGTGGCAAAGCCACAGCAAGATTGTGACGAGACGGAAGAAGTCACCAGCATGCTCAGTTAGTGCCATCGGAGGGGCAAAACACACAAGCTTCTGATGCGCTACGTTAAGGTTAGCCAGCTGGGATGGTGGCTGGAAAGGAGGTTTTCAGCACTGCAGAGCCAGACTCAACAGATGGATGATACTCAAGGCAACCCTGTGGGCCTGAAGTGCTCGCAGTTCTGCTTCTGAAATCTGGAAAAAAAACAAAGATGATGATGATGATGATAAACACTTTTCTAGGGATGTCTTAGGCCCATCTTCTCGGGTTAAAACTACACTAGAGTCTTTCAAAGAATGGAGTTTTGCACTGCTTCTCTGAACAAGAAAAATGGGAGCTTTGCTAAACCTTGTACGAAGCTTTACGGAGAGGTAACGGTTGAACTTTTAGGCCCAGGGAAACTTCTGAAAGAATTCAATTATTTACAACTGGCTTGCAAACAATTAAACAGTCCTCAACAGCGGACCAAAGGAAAAAAACAAAAGAACCTCTGGTGAGGGCAATGAAGCCCAAAACCAGCAAGATATTTAAACAGCAAAGCAAAAATATGTAGGAGTAAACATTAAAACTTAGTAAGACAGTTGAGAGGGACTGAAGCAGGGGCAGGTGGAAGCCTCTTCACATGGCTCACTCCAAGGGCAAAGGAGAGACAAAGATGCAGCTTCGACACATCCTGTGAGAAGAAAATTGCCAGCTCAAATGGCAGAACACTGAACAGCTCCTTGGCAGCACGTGAATATGCACGTTCAAGAAGAAAAGCAGTTACGATGCACACTGCTGTAATAGAACAGGGAATCCTCTCCCTAATTCCTAAAATAATTCAAGTGCTGGATGAGTGCCAGAAAGGTTGGCTAAGTTATTAGCACATTCATCCGATTAGTTAAAAATGTACTTCATTATGGCATTCAGATCCAGGGAAGCATGTAAGGAAACACGTCAGATGCTACCACGAGGATCTCGTTGGAGAGATGAGTCTTGTGATGAAACAAACAAAAGTTTACAATTCTGTTTAGAAGAGAAACTAAGTTATTTGCAGGAGAAGAGTTTTACCAGCAGCATTCTCCTCCCTCCCTTTCTTCCGCCACGAAACAAAAGGGTGTTACAAAGGGTGTGTGTCAAGCATAAGCAACAGAAGCCATTCTATGAACAAGGTCATGATTGTTGTGAATTTCACTGGGGTTAACAACCAGGTAAAATAAGACTACGCTAAATGCTAACGAGACAACGTCCTCAACGTGATTTGCTTGAAGGGTTAAACAGGATGCAAAGATGGGCTGTGCAACCCATAAAGAGGGGCAAATAAAGCAAACATTCAGCACTACTTTGCCTTCAAAAGATGGGAGGCTTTGCTCCAACAGTGTAAAGACTGTTCAAGTCTGGCAGCTGTGTCCTAATTCATCTGTGCAGCGACCTCTGTGCTTTACCCATGAATTACCTCAAGAGTGTAAGCAATAAAGCTGAACCGTTCAAAAAGGCCAACGTCCACCTTCACCAATATTAAAATAAAAGTCAGAGAGCATTTGCTGGCTGCAAAAAGGCCTCTGCAATTATCACTTAATTGCCCTTCATGGGCCAATACAGCAAGTCTCGTACTTTTCCCTTAAGGTTGATGCTTCCTTCAGCACTTTTTCCTAACTGGCTACTTAATTAGTCCTCTTTCCTGGACTTAATTATAAATTTGTTTTCATTAATTAGCCTCCGAGCTGACTTGGCACTTACTGAGGTACAAGAGCAGTGCCTGGCTTCTTCAGTGTACAGGCTACTCCTTCCTAAGGGAGTCCATGCACTGGCAGCCATAAAATTTCAAGTTCAAATTGCGTTTTGAAAAAAAAAAAATTAACTTGCATAGATTGTAATTGCCCACACTGTTCTACAACACAGAAATGATGTTAACATGAAAAAAAGGATAGAATTAATTAAGTTCACGCCTCTCTTTCAATGGATCATGTTCAGCAACTGAATCTTGCCGTTTTAGATACTATAGAATTACTAGATGCTCTTAAATGAAGGTGGTAATAGCATCACTTTAATTCCCAGCGAGGGACTGCCAACACAGACTGCTGTGCTCTGATGGCACTAGCACTGTAAAGGTAACCCTCACCATCCAAGCATCAAGTTCAGTTCTTCAAGAAGTTAGTAACTTCATTACAAGCCCACACATAACCAAAATAACCCAGTCTGCCACATCTTTTGACCGTGGGACACTGCAAATGCTGTTGTCGTTCATTACGTTAACACATCCTATTGCTCGTTTCCTATGGCTCGTCAATGCCAAGAGACACCCACACCACTTCATCGTACACCTGCAGTCTTGATCAGTCCTCATTTCAACTAATGATAGTAAAAGGAATGGGGAAAAAAAAACTTCTAAAACTTATAACTGAGAAACAGGAAGAGTTAAATAAAGTTGTCTCATTTGTGTTATCAGCTATCCTACCAACTTCTCAAGCAGTTATCATGAACATTGCTGTTCTCCAAACTTAACGTTTAAAAGTCCTTATCTACTGAGCTGCAAAGGGAAGTTAAGTATCTAATTTGGAAGATCAATATATTTTCCTCTGAAAGCTTTTAGATTTGGATCTCAGTTAAAAATATAGACTGAGAAAGGAAACAGTTTGCTTCTTTTAACCTCATGTTTCATTCATGGCCTTTCTTGGGTAGCTAACATAGAAAGTGCTTAGCAAGTGCAAACAGATGTGGTTTTACAACATTCGTGAGCCTTTACTCAGGCAGAGCAATTTAAATCCAGCAAAACAAGGAAGACATATTCTGTGGGTGAACTCAGTAATACTGAAGCGTTTGGCAGGCATTCCATTAACACATGTTTACCCAATAAGCAGTTGGCTAGCCAATTTTTTTCCTTGATGATCAAATAATGTTCACATCTTAGAACTGAGTATTAATAATGAAATCTATGGTCAAATCCTAAAATAGGTTTTTCACATGCAACCAGGGAAATGTTTGACTAGGATTAAATTCACGAATGTCATGAAGGAACGGGATATTCCAAGAGCTCATGCACCAGTTTGGAAGGAGTAAGATACTCACTTACAACAGCTGCCAATACCATTAAAGAGGCAGGTTCTTTACCGTTCAGTTAGATGTAATATCTGCAATCAATCAACACTTAGAATAAATTTGGTATTAGAATACACCGTAGACGGAGTCTACATCTGTAGAAATATAAATAAGAAATATTTTTTTCATACTGAAATGCCTTTCATCTGTTACAGAAATGAGGCTACAACTCCTTAGGTTTATTAATTTCCCCAATGTTAATTTAAAATCATCTGCAGATAACTAATTCAGTTATGTATTCGAAAAATAGAAGGAACTGTAGATGTGTCCCAGATTGTTTTATTTGCACTGTTTATTTTTCTCTAGTTACTCAGCTCACATTCGCCCTTTTTTTTATTTATTAAGTTGTATAAATATGTACGTGCACACAGATCTGACCCGTTTGCAATCATTCTTCTGCTGCTCTAAACTGCAAAAACTCTTGTTTAGTAAAACAGGAACAGCTTTCTCGCCAAGTGAAACTCCACTTCCAAAAGAACCTGCGAATTAGCAGAGTCTTTAAAAATCTAACTTTTACATTCGTGTGAACCACTGTCAGTAACACTCTTTTAGAATTTGCCTCCAGTTTTTATCATAATGCATACTTTAAAACAAGTACACTGAATATAAGCAAACAGTTACATCAGCTGCACAGAATATACACAACATTACAGTCTATGAAGAAACCTAAAAGCTGTTCTATAAACCATGCAAATGATATTACATAAATGCTAAGGATATATATTTAAGCTACAGGACACAAAACAATGTGCACGGGCTATTATCTTAGCATTTTTCAAAGTCTAATCAATTTTGTCACATCTCTATGCAAAATTATCATTAGTAAGCTGAGGAAATTAGATTACTCAACACAGTAGAAAATAAGCAATGGAAAAGAATCGTATCTTGGTCAAGGAGCAGAAAGGGATTTATGAAGACAATTTCTCAGTCGTCAGAGTAATATCCTGTAGACTTCTTTTCTTCTTTTGTAATATCCCACTTGGTAAATTAGAAACTTCTACCACCAGAGGTTGCCCATGACTACTAATAGCCTGATATATTCTAAAATATACGAAGCAGAAGCCACAACAAAACAAAAATGAAACATAGTGCTCCTGACTAATGGGCAATTCTTGTTTGCCACAATTCATGCACTAGAACACAGCACCCTTAGGATTAATGAAACACAGACTCACAACAGAACTTCACAGGTGGAAACTGTCCTGCACCTGCTCACACGCTAAAAACAGGGAAGTGAGTTTTACACGAATGTCAAGTTGAACAAAAAGAATTCAACCCAGACTAAGGTAAGTAATCGAGCTCAATTCAAAACCTTACACAGCGTGTGCTCTTATTTCAGAAGTTTCAAGCTAATGGCTACAACTGGTAAAGCAAATAAATCAGCAAGGTAAAATGCCTAGTCCTAATGTGAACGGAAAATGATTTACATTTACTGGCAAAAGGATTCAACTGAATTTTTATCTCCATCTGTAACAGATGCTTCTTCCTCTCCTTTAAAAGTCAAACTATATTAAATATAGGTGCCTGCTTCAGAACAAATGTTTCTAAGATGCGCTTAGAGCCCCATCTAAGGGTAAATACTGAAACTGGCTCTATAGATAAACTAGGCAAAAATCGAGATTTTTGTTTTTCTCAATTCTTTTCTTTTCTACTTTTTTCCAGGATGGATTTTTTTTTTTTACTTTTTCACAACATACTCATGAACCAAGAGAAATCCACTCAAAAAGCTGCTGTCCAGCTGCAATATAGTGCAGCAGGGGAAGACAGACTGGTGCAAGATACAGCAAGGTTGATAGAACCTGGACCTACCTGTTTGCAGCATGTTGCCAAAAAGGGCTGCCTGGACTTGCATTAACAACACACATCCAGTCTTTGCATCCCAACTGTAAACTCTGTAACCCATAATGTTCACCAGCTCCTCCCCAAGTCATCCTACTCTCTACCCCTGAGAAGTGGAGGGATATACTCCTTTGCAAAGCCTTGCAGTGAGGCTTCTCTCACCACGGGATAAAGCAAGAAGGGTGTTTGTGGAAGGAAAGCAGTTCTTTAGGTCGCCAGTGAGCTGTTGGGCTCAGAGATCCTATCTGTGTCCTGACTGCTGTGACATGGGGGAAAGAAATAATGTTCTTTGGTGCAATGCTGGCCTTGCACTGGCACATCTCCAGATCTCTGCAGGCCTGAGCAGTGGAAGACTGAGCATTTTCCAAGGTGGGATTCCTTCAAGCAGGGGACACAGCATGTGAGCCCCTCTGGCAGCTAATATGAGTCCAGCAAAGAAGGGATAATATTTGAATTTGATGACCTTGAAGAGACCAACGCAAGCCCAGAATTCAAATAATTTGTATCAAGGCAAAGGATGAACTGAATGGCCTCTAGCATATTCCTTACTATTGCCTTCTCAGAGTTTAGCATGACTTAGCCTTAAGTACATGCAAGTTAAGACAACTTCTACTGACTGGTATTTCCAAACTCAGCCTATACATGCCCTGATTACAGGAATGAAAGCTTGACAGAGTGTGAAAAAAAAATTCCATGATCAACCAATATTGGAGTCATCCTGCATTTAAACAGAGATTATTCCGAGAGGTTTGTAGTAGACAAACTGCAAGTCTAACCAGATGTTATCTGAAGATGTCAAAACTTATTTAAATGCTAAATATATTCCAGGGTATTAGGCATATAAATACAATTTGGAAGAACAGTATCTTTTACTTACGGATTCTGTATAGTACTTTTCTATTCATGAATGAAAAAAACAACTGTATCAGACTCAGAGTAAGTTCTCTAGTTATGTAATTTCAGTAAATTTCTGAATTTCTTTTAAAATCTTTTATACTCACAAGCTCTGAGTTATAATTTGTAATGTTCAGCTGGACAAATGCTTTTTATATAAAGAATCCTCCAAAAACATCTATTATACAAAAGCTTGAAAAGTATTTTAACAAACTTTTATATATGAAGTTCTTTACCTATCGTTCTTCAGTTGTGTGAATAGAAGAATGCTTTCTTTGTTCAGAATATTACGTATGTTATATCCATTTCCTATAAAGAAAAAATCAGTTTAGAAGCAATTAACCATTTTTGAGTTTTACGCCTAAGAGTATTTTTCATTATTTCATATATTTTAACAAATAGAGAAGAAGAGACCTTAATTTAGTATGGCCACCCTTAGATCCAAGTCACTGCATTTTGCAGTGCAGACTTTGCAGATCATGTAAACCTACATCTAGGGCCTCTTTCAGAACTACTTAAAATTCTCCTAATTTCAGCCCTACCCATGAAGGACAGCTTCTCTCATGAAATTCATTCGACTTCCTCTTCAAAGAGGAAAGTCAGAGGTACCTAATAATTCTTGAAGAGTATAAAGCTATAGCCCTTTCAACACACAGGCTGCACCTTCCGTAGATGAAGCACGAAGCACAACAGATATCCCAAATGAGCCAATGATTGGATTTTGATAATTCTACGGAGAAAATTACTAAAAGATGAAGACCTATACAGTCATACTAATTACCACTGAATTAAGGTCTGTGTAATGCTTCACAAACATTTTATTTCAGGACAGAAAGACTGTCAGAAAAGAATGTAACACTGGACTTATCACTGGATTATGTAATCAAAAAATCTGCAGAGAACGACCAGAACATGCACTGTTGCACAACTGCCTTCAGAGGTTAGGTTACCAACCCATGTCCAGCATTTGGTCAAAACCCTCCTTTCATAACCCTATTCTTTCCATTCCCTGCTCAAAATTCTTTTTAACAATCATTCAACTCAGTTTTAACTCCTAGCATGCTAATTCAGACTGTTCTGTTTCCAACAAAGTTTGTGAAATACACCTACTCACCTGCTGGAACATAGAAAAAGTCCCCTGTAGTCAGGTAATATGATGTCTTATGCAGGGTAAGAACAACTTCGCCTTGGAGAATATGGAAAGCCTTAAAATAAGCCAAAGGGTTCTAACATTAGCAGTGATCGTTTTTCAAATATTTAAGAAAACTACCTGAGAAAATAAGTCCTTCAGTTTTCCAAAAAAAGATTGCAAATGAAGGTAAATAAATAAAGAAAGAATAAGCACAACTGCAACTGCTTTTCCCCACCTCTGTTAAAAAGCTGCACAATTTAAAAGGGGAAAAAGAGTTTTTTCCTTTTGTTGTTTTTTCTCCTTTTCTTTACACTTCTATTTTGCTTGCAAGTTCCAAACAATACGAGCGCAGAAATACAGGCTTTATGTCAAAGAAAGCAAGGCAATGTGCACACAAAGTACTTGAGCTACTTGAGCTAATTTCTGTTTGATTTTCATAACTCAAATAATTATTTAGTATTTCCTATATTTACTTGCATTTTAAGACAGAAAAAAATTCATAAATCTGTGGAATTCATATGCTTTTAACCATTCTAAATATTTCTTTGAAGTGTTAAAGATTTTCTGTATATACACAGTCCACTACACAAACAGAAAAAAGCATACTTACTATTGTATCCATATGAACAAACTGATGTCCCTTTTCTTTAAGTGGTTGCAAGATCAATTTACCCATTGCAAAATCAGAGGTATTCAGATTTTTATGTATTTCTATTGACTGATCCTTAAAAAAGCAGGATTGTCTCTTTCCACTGCTAATACACTCTACAAAAGAAAATAAGATTAAGATTAAAGCCAACACATGATCAGTTTTGTTACCAGCTCAATTACCACTTTTTAAATTACATGCACTATGCACGATCAATGCGATACCATGTTCAATATTAAATGAAAAATCAGGACATTTCATCTCCCAATCCCTTTTTTCCATCTCTCTGGCTTTTTCTCCAGAAAAAGAATGAATATTTCAGCACCTTGTTTTTTATTTTAATGTTTAAGGAGGCATGGACAATCTTTTTTGTTCTAGATCAGTCCAGGGGAAGACTCTTTTCTACATCCTTACTACATAATTCAGAAAGCTCCTTTTCAAATCCGCTCAACTTACCTAGAAGAACTTCCTTATTTGTTATTGGGTCCACTACAACAGTTGGCTTAGAAATATCAGCTAGAGTTTGATCCAAGCTTACAGCTACCTCATTGCCTGAGGAGAAAAAAAGACCAGCAAAGTAAACACTCTATCCTTTAAAAACTTTAATTAAGTCACATTTTTTTTCAGAATTTTAGAATTCAAAGATAAGTACTTAAATTTATTAAGCGACTGAACAGACTGATGTACATTTCCTTCAAAAAAAAAAAGCCAACTATTTCTGCTATGCTACCAATCACAGTATCTACTCAAAAGAATGTACATTTTAAGAAAAGATCTTTTACAGCAACAGATGCTGTTCCTAAATAAAAGAGGAATAAAGACTTGCTCAGTTTTCTTTTTTTTTTTTTTTTTTTTTGAGAAACATCATTAAAGGAATCTCACTTTAAGTTCTAAATCAGAAAACTACTCCTATAAATGAAAAGTTTTTTTTTTTCCAGAGAATGCAATAGCTTAATAATGTCAAAAGTACAAGCAGAAACAGCAGCAATTTGGTAGATATAATCACTGATTTTTTGTAGTATCAATAACATTTGGAAAAATCTACTTCTATGTTTATTTGTAAGCCTTCTTGTTAAAAATTCAAGGATGCCAGCAAAAGATAAACTCTCAAGATGGATGTCTGTTAAACAGCAAATACTTCACTTATAGAGGCAGCTTAAATGCATCTAAAGCAACAAATAATCTTATAAGATACAGTGTGAGCAGTCAATGCTAGGCCAAGTTTACACTGACTGCAAATGATTTGCATAAAAACAGTTGTGCTCAGAGCAAGGGGTCACTTTAGACCAGGATCCTGACTCCAAGCACAGCAGAAGCAGGTAGCTCTCCAACCTCCCGAAACAGTGTAACAGCACTTCTCTGGAATAGTTGCCTCTAATAGTATATTGTTCTATTTAAGAACTATCAGTAATTAAATATTCCATTGATTTACCCAGCTCTCCCTTTGAATCTAAGCAATTTTTTTTATCCACAACCTTGTGCATCAAGCAGTCCACAAGCTTAACTGCATATGGTCAGAAGAATCATGCTATTATCTTTGAAAAACTTGGCTCCCACTAAGTTTAATTTGATACCTTCTAGTTCTTGTGTTTGAAAAAGAAAAAAATAAGTGTTTGAGATTCCCCGTCTTCATGCCACTAAGGTCTTAGATGCATCCCTGGTCTTAGTTACACCCCTGCGATCACCTCTCTTTAAGACTAATATGTCTTTGCCTGCATAGTTGCTCCTTCAACATAAGTCCTTCCATATCTTTGAAAAGTCTTCTCTGAACTTTCTGATGTTGCTACTTTTTTAATGAGATAAGGTACTTCTCTTCTTAAGCCATCACATTTCAACCTCCCAGAGAGGTTTTGAAACAAGAATCTCAAATTGAGATCTTGTTTGAATTCCTGAATCTTTGAATTCAAGAATCTCAAGATCTGAGTCATTTCTTTCCCCAAGAGTCTACACACACGAGAACCAGGATGATCTTAATCAGCAGACTAGACAACAGTTAAAAGTATCCTCATCGTACAGCTTAGCTACAGTAAAAGCAAGCAAGCAAGCAAGGAAGAAAAGCAGAAATCTGTATTTATACTTGTCTGATCTCTTTTTGGCTTATGACCACACTTCCGTTTAATCTTCCTGTGAGGTTCTGTTTCAGGACACACTATTCCACTGATCACAAGTCCTGAAACAAAAGAAAGTGAAGTTCACTAACACACAACAATTATTGTACAAGGATGTAGATTTGCACAATCAAAATTGTTTTAGTTCAGAATATTGCAAAAATTCTCAGAGAGTAAAAAAAAAAAAAAGAACAAAGAAAAGACCAAATTAGGATAACTTGACAGAAAAAAAAATGACTGAGAACAAGACGTATTCTATCACTTGGTCACTTAACATTATGACAGGATAAAATATTCCAGTGTCTTTTCTAGAAAGCAACCCACATACCAAGAGAAATGTTCCAATGAATGATCCAGTAAATTGTCTCTTTTCCCTACTTTCTACAGAGTATTAACAAACACACTGAGAAACTATTTTGCTCTTCCCAGCACACTTAAAATAACTGCACTTAATACTCTCTGCTGATAATACTTCTATCTGAGGATAGCATCAGAAAGCAAAAAAGCTACATGGAAAGATGACTAAACAAGCACCTTAAGACTACAAACAATTTATTTTAATGAGCAAATAGCTAGTGTCTCAAAATTCTTACGACACAAAGTCTGCCCACACTAGTTAACCCTTATCATGCTATCAGGACACAACAAATAGAACTAATACCTGAAGGCCTCACTGCATAGTTCACACGCTCCCCTCGCCAATATTCCAAAGGTCTCAGCCGTATCCTTTTTGTCCGACGAACGTTAGGTGTGTTGGAGGGCATTACTAATTTCAAGAAAGGAAGAATTCGTATTGAATAAGAAAGAAAAATCCAAAAACAGACAGCAAAATGTATTCTGTCCTTTTGTTCTATGTGAGCTGAAACAACCTAGCTGATACTTGTATCACACTGTTTTTATGACAGAGAAAGGAAATCAACTATCACCAAGAGTCTTCTTTTACATACAGCAGTATTTCATCCTAGTATTAAAACATATATCACACTACCTTTCTATAAGATAACATTCTATATGTCATGGTGAAACAGTGACATTGGAACAGGAGGGGTATAAGCACAAAAAAACAGCCAAGATACTATAATCTTGAAGACAAAATCTCATGACAAGGAGTAAGAATCTTACTCAGATCTGAGGGATTACATGAGCCACAGTGAAAAAGCTTTATCTTGTTTGTGGCGAGAGTAACAGAGAGACTGCATGAGCAGCCTTACATGTGAATACTTTCTGCATTTTCCTGCCTCTTCTCCAAATATTTTTCAATATCAAATTAAAATTTTGAGAAGCAGCATTGCATAAAGTATTAATGATGCTTTGCTCAATAGATTAAAAAATGAACCTCTTATACGGGTTTTCCTGCATCTCTTTTAGTGAGACTACACTGAAGTGTAGTCAACATGGAAATATGTGTGCATAGGCTTACACAAAAGTATTTTAAAATAGTCTTACCTATTTTATGCCTTGCTATCTCGTTTGACAACAGATCACTGATTTGCAAATCCAAGTCTTCAGAACTATCTGAAAATGCATTCGGAAAAAAAATCTCTCAGCATAACAGTCAATATGCAATTATCTCATCATCAATTATCAATAGATCAGTTATCCAATAGATCTGCAAGGAGTAACTTAAAGTAGTTACAAAGAAAATTCTCAAGTCCCAATTTCTTTAAACAAATACAAAACCCTTGACAGAAATAAACAATATATGTAATATGATTTTACGTGTAACAAGCTTGAAGCATATATGGAAAAAGTAGGAAAATAAAAACATTAGACCTTACCTGAAGACGAATTATCCTCTCTGCAAGCCAAGGACCTCCTTCTGGAAGTAAATTTAACATCCTGTTCTAGTAAAGGTCCACTTCAAAAGAAAGAAAAGAAAAATGGCTTGAAAATATTACATATCAAAGGAATATTATAGCAAAATAAGCAGCAGCAAATTAACTTTCTCCACATCACACAGTTTTTCCTTCCAAATGGCTGTCCGTATTGACTAGACATGGAAGGAAATGACTGCTATCTACAAAAAAACAGGCCCAAAATCCATCAGAGGACCTTAAAAACCTCTGCTCAGTCAACACAGAGCCAAATAGTGTTCACATAACTTCTCTAGCCAATCATAAAATCTCCTTTTTTTCTCTCCCTCCTTTTCTGGAAAAACATACATCTCCTTTTCTCTGTACCATGAATATAATAATCTTTAAAAAATGTTTTACATGCTGTAAAGGCAGAAGAATTGTTTATAATTTACCTGCAAATATCCCATCATAAAACCTCCAAAACTTGACAATAAGTAGCATGTACGCACTTCTACCAGAGAAAAATTCTCCAGAAATCAAGTTATTTATAGCAAGACTTGAGTAAACAGCCTCAGCATTAGTACCTGTAACCTCTTTCCCCCCATCCTTGCCTGCACTTCACTGACTTCACTGCAGAAACTTCACTGTCAGTAGACCAAATTGAGCAGCCAAATGTAGCTCAGACCCCTAAGAACTCCAAGGGGTGCACTTTAATTCTGCATTAGCGTGCATACAATTCACAGCCCCAGTGTATCCAGTCAACGTCTGCACTAGGGTCATTTAAATTAAAATACTACAGTGTTCAACAGAATTATAAGAATTCAATAAAGCCCGACCTCGATTGTCACTTCCATTTGCCTTCTTATTAAGTTCCTTTCCCATGAAGGAGAAGTACATGCTTATCTACCTGCAGAGTTTGCCTTCAAGATACTACTACAAACTCTACTTAATAGCAACAAAGTTATTCCTGCAGTTGTTGCCAGACCCTGGAGTGTGGTATTTCTGTTTAAAAACTTGCTTCCACATTAAAAACATCCATAAAGGCAAAAATCCTATTGTGACAGCTTATTCACCACAGACAAAAAGGATTTTATTATTTCATTAGCTGTAATAGAACAAATACCTAGATGCCTCAAGCATCAACCATGATCGCTTTCTACTACATTCTGTATTAACACAGAACAGAACACAGTAAGTTTAACAGGTGGATTAAATGCAAATCTTATAGACAACTAAGGAAATTACCTTCTATGATTCATTAAGTCTTCAGCTGCAGAGAAATCTCTAGAAAAGAAGTAATTATTATAATTGTGGTTACTGGAAGCAAGTAATTTTATTTTGTAAAAGGAATCATATGAAAGGCATTTTCCAAAAAACCATCAATAGAAAGAACAGTGAGTGCTCAGCTATTCTGCTCAAAGAGACTTTTGTTTTGATTAACAAAGTCTCTTCCATTAACAAAAAGAATAATTAAACATTGTACAGTCTGAATTTATAAACAAAGTAACACACACAAAAAGATATTATACTTTTCTACCACTACAAAATCTAATCTCATAACCATTTTGGTTAGTTTTATCAATATTTACATTTATACTGAAGGAATAGTTTCTAAACAGATCCTCATACCCAGAGCTTACTGGAAGGTGCACCTGCTTCTCACACTGCACTCCATTTCTCTAGCCTCACTATTTCAAATTCTAGACACCCTTGCTAACATCCAAGGGCTCTGATTTTCTTCCAACTCTGACCATCCTACAAGAGGGACTGCTAGAAAAAAAATTAGCTATGCCAGCTGCCCACAAAGCAGGAGAGCTCCAAGGACGTACCTCCTAGGTGGCAGATCATTCCTCAAGAGCACTTTTTAACTTTTTCTGAAATCTCAGGCATTAAGCACCATGAGGTAACTAAACTTGACGACTGACTCGTGTCAGTTACCTGGAATATGCTCACTGTTCTGAAAAAGGGCTTCCCTGGCCTGTACGAAAAAATGGCTCAAAATTCCACTGAAAGGTACCACTGAATATTAGCTGCATTTCAATCAGCCACTAACATAAAACAGTTGTAATATTTTCTCTTGAGCAGTCTCCTCTGCGAATTCCAGTTTAAGCTTGCTGACGCAGGAGCGGTTACTACATTTGGCAAACGACAGGATGTTAATTACACCACTAAGTTTTTTCTATTAGCTATCTTCTACTCAAACAGTTTGAAGTTGTCATATATTTCAGCTATGAAATTACTGCTTAAAAGTTGACAAAGCAGGTTTCCTTAGCTTTCATGGTACAACACATCTTTTAAAGGAATTAAATATAGCACTTACTGTGATCCACGTTGCATGTTACGTTTTCTTTTGTTGCTACTTTTTTTATTTGATGGATTGGGGGTTTTTTCTACCTCGTCCTGCAGAGAAGAGCTCTCAGAATCTGTCGTATTTTTAGGTTTAGTGTCTTCAGAGTTTGAATGCACTTTTTTACGGGCTTTGTGATAAGTCTTTTCAGGCTTCTTCTTTACAGTCTTAGCTGATGATCTCTTCTCAGAATTCTGCACAGTGTCTTTGGGATTCTGCAGTAGCTCTTTGGCTTTTACAGGATTTTTGTTACTTGCACCATTATGTGATTCCAACAAGTGTAAAACATTTTTTTGTTTTTCAGAGTTAGCGAAATTCTGAATCTTAGAAGTCTGTAATTTTGAATGCAACGGTGATGAAAACACTTCATTTAAATCTACAGACTCTCTTTCAAGTCCTTCTTCACTAAGTTTACTTTCAGAACTCTCTACTGTTGGTAATAGCTCTCTGTTACTACTCTTGTCAGAGGTTTTCACTTTCTTTCCGGTGATTTCTGCCACTTTCTTAGATACCTTATCTTTTGAAAATTTCTGCTTAACATCTTGTTTTTTGTGAACTAAAGGCCGAGAAGTTTTTAAACTGGATTGCTTGTAGTTTGAAGACTTTAAACTCTTTTTTGGGTGAACCTCCCGTTGATCTCCAGCTGAAAGTATAGATGAATCCTCACTCGGTATCACCCTTTTTTTACATCGTTCTGCACCAGAAGCTTTTTTGTCTAATTCAGACAATTCTTTATCTTCCAGTTTCCAGGATGTATCTCTTCTCTGTTTTGAAGAGTCTTGCTTAAGTGCTTCCTTTTTAGTCTTTTCTAACAACATATAAAACACATGGATATTAATATCTTTTCCCCATAATACTTTTAGAAGCAATACTTTCACATGTGAACATACAAAATTTAGTCAAATGACAATACAAAAAAAAAGCATCACAAAAATAGGTTTTTCCTCAATGAATAAGAAGCTTTCTCAGCACTAAAGTTCATGGAGATTTCAAAACAGAATTTTTGGTAAACATTCACATTTTGGGGCATTTCATAGCACAAAAAAATAGAAATGTTCACTTTCAATCTGCTTTAATCTGCAATCAGCTTTTCCTGCTAAGAAATCCTTCACAATTGATACTCAAAACCTGATTCTCAATTTACAATGCTCATCTTACTCTTTTTCCTAAAGACAGGAATAAAAGCTTGGAAGTATCCTCCTCCTATTTGTAAGAAAATGAGGAAGTCTTCACAGCTAACTTAATTTTTAAACTCTTAAACTCTATTTCTCATATAAAATCACATAGTCCAGTAACACGATGACCTTGAAGGAAAAGCCCAAATATCAGTTAAACAACTCACCCATATGAGTGCTGCTTCGCCGTTGAGGTTTAAGAGCTTTCCCCTTCTTGTCAGAAGAAGATGTCTCCAATTCTGATGTCCTTTTGAAGTCAGGCTGTACTCTGACATCCAAATCAGGTATTTGCTCCTTATCGGGAGCTTCAGACTGCTTCTTTCCATTCTTGTCTTTCTTACTTTCTGTCTTCTGCCTTTCCAAGGACTGGGATTTCAAAGCAGGAGTTGCAGAGTCATTTCTTTTTGATGTTTTGTTCTTCTTTGGTATTGAAAACCAATTAGAAGACCCATCATCTGATTCATCAATTAAAAATTCACATTCGTTTTCTATTTCTAAATCTTGAGCTTTCACAAGAGGAGGGGATGGTGGTGATACTGAGGCTGAACACCTAAAGGAAGGAGGGACAAATGATATATGACAGATGAATTGGAAAAAAATACAAAAAAAAAGACTTTCAGTCTTGTAAGTCCTGGTGAAGAGACTGCAGAACACAAGAGCCTGTTACAAAATATTGTTCAGTGCAATCATTATAAAGGCCATCACTCATTGCTTTTAATCTTCCAAAAGGAGCATAATGTTTGCTTTTTCTTTCTTTGTCCTAATGCCCATAACGCATCATTTCTTTGAAGCAAGGTAGACTAAACTTCCTACCTAATTGCTCAGATCCATATCTGCTCTAAAAAAGGGATTGTTCGATCACCACTAAGTTAAGAACTACATATGCTTTGTCTGCATTCTGTATATAAAAAAATTCTCAGGCTCACTCTTAAAAGCTTTTTATAAGCTGTATGCTATTTCACTGGCAAACAACATCAACAAAAAAATCATTATTAAACCATAACTGCACAAGAAGTTCATAAAGCAATTTATAACTTTCCTGAAGAGGAGCTTTTCAGTAACAAGGGACTATTCCATCACATCATCCCACATTGTATTAGTGATATTACCTTATTCCCATACCTAGGACTGTACTATTTTAACAACAAATTATGTTCCATGCTAAGTGTCAAAACTCACCTTTTTCCAGCAGTTGTTACAGCTGCTAAGAATGCTGAAGAGAAAGACTTCTTTTTCTGTAGAGAGGATATAGCAATATGGTTTGTTCCCTGCACCAGAGCAAGCTGTTCCTCTTTCCCAGTTTGTGGTCCTCCCAAATTTTCAACTTCCACATGGCTCTTAACCACAGCTGGAGTACCTCGCTCATCAAACTGCAATCTAAATAGGAGAAACAGTATTTAAACACAAAGCTACAAACACAGAGTGCACGCTGAAGCATCTTGGTGGCTCTCACTTTCTCCTGATGACACTGTCTCACTTTTAATGAATGAATTTTCATTCGGTAATTGGCTGAAACGCAGGTTGGTGTTCTTATTTGCAAATGTACTTGCTAGTGTCCTAATCACCGAGGCATCAAGGGTCAGCCTGAGACCTTGAGCAAAGTAAGGGCTGCTCAAGCATTCAAATATCTACTTTTAAGAGAAAGTGCTTCACAAACTGACAGATGTCCTAGATGCTGGGTACACTCTTGGATAAGAGTCTCCCCAGCCTCATCACACCATGGTTAAGTTGGACCGCTGCCTCTCCCTCTCTATGAGCATCCCCAGAGATTCAGTCCTCCAAGAAAGCAAAAACATGGCCATAGCAGCTGGGCTTCCAACTTTCCAAGGAGGAAAACCCTCAGGTGATGCTATTCTACTTCTCCTTTTTTTTTTTTTTTTTTTTNTTTTTTTTTTTTTTTTTTTTTTTTTTTTTTTTTTTAATTTTAAATTCACAAGCCAAACTAAGAAATGAATAAAATCATTGTGTTAATTTATCCTAAAGATGACGGCGGGGGAGGGAAGTTCAGCTCTACTTACATATGGCCAGGAGAAGTTATAGCTTCCTTCACAAGAGGTGATTCCGCAGTCTCATGATCAACCCTAAAGGCTGAGAGTTTGACAGGACTTCTACACTGTGCTTCAACATCTTCTAAAATGCTTCTTGTTTTGCCAGGAGATCCAGCAAGATCACTGACGTCCTCAGTGACATTTTTATTTGAACTTTCTCTTTGAGACACAAGACTCTCTGTTTGGTTAGCATCATGTATTTCAGATGTCAGCTGTGATTTAAGTGACCGTCCTGAAACATGTATTAAATAGTTTTAGTTCTTTCCCTCAAAACTGTGTAAAATTCCCAAGAAACAGTTACCCCAAAACCTGAATTGAATAATAGCACTACTCACCTTTACTGCTGACTGCTTTTAGTGGTGATGTAAATAAAGAGTCTGAAGAATTAGAGGTGTTCTTCAGAGAGTTAGTTAAATGTGCACTTGGCTGCCATATTTGAAAGAAAATAATGAGAAAAATATTCAATACAGCAATAGAAGTATTTTGACAAGAATATAAACTTTTAAGGACACAATTATCTGGCTCAATTCTTACTCAACCCCTTTGAAGCACAGTTCTAATTCAACTGACCACATCACTTCTCTATCATTTGTGATCTTAAAGAAAGTAACTGCAAATTTCAGATAACAGGTAAAATAGTATATATTGTAATAATATACAGATTATACAGCTTTGCAGCTTTATCAAGAATTCCTGCTAGCAGGGGCAAACTATTTATTCTCTTCATTACACTAAATTTATTTAAACAATCTGCTTTACCCTTATTAAACATCATGCTGTGGTTTTGCAAGATTTACTTGAGGAAAACCCAGTATTGCATCACCAGAGTAAAACACACAAATTCCATTATAAAACTTGCTTTAAACATTCATATTAAAAGAATATTCCACTTAAAAAAAAAAACTATAATCAAAATATTAAAACTGCGTAGACCAAACTGCAAACACAAATTACAATATTTGCAATATTTGCTCAGACAAGATTCTAACAAGTTCTACTGTGTATGTGCAGCGGGGTTGGACTTGATGATCTCTAAAGGTGCCCTCCAACCTTAATGATTCTATGATTCTTTGAATGATTTCTTCCATTTCTCCACAAATTTACAGATATACAAGTTATTTTACAGATAGACACCGTTATCAGGAACTGACAAGCACCTCTTACAGAAGGATAATCTTTTAATTTTATTCTCCATTTGCTAAAAAGAGATATCAATTCATCTGGGAAAAAAATGACTGAGGCCAAGTTCAGTGGATTTCAAAAATATACTTTTTGAAAGGATCTCCATACTCAAAATCTGCTATAAAGCAGTATGCTTGAACCTCAGGAAGTTCATCCAGATGAAACACTGAGAAAACTTTTGGTAGCAAAAGTCTATAAAAAGAGGTGCCCCAAAAAGCTTTGTTAAAGAATATTTCCCTTTTATAAAAACACAACATCCTAAAAAAAAAAAAGCATTACCAACAATTATACCAGAAGGTTAAATTACAGTGACTAATACTTGTGATATATGGAGCTGATTCACTCAATGCTTATAGGATTCATCTCGATCCTATTGAGCTATATACACACCACAGTAAAACTGAAAATTGTACCAACAGTACGCTATGACACCAACATAACTAACTTACCTTCTTCCTTTGTGCTGAAGTGCCCTTTTTCTTGCTAACAACGGGAGTTGAGCAACATGTTGCACTTGGAGAATTTATTCTAACATCATTATCACAACCTAGAAAGAAAAAACTGTAAGTACAGGATACTGCGAATTGTACAGGATTTGAGGTTTTTTCAACAAGTCATTAAGACCTGTCAAGTTCAAATAAATCCAAATAAGACAGAAACCAGACATATAAGAAGAACATTACCTCCGAAGATGGCTAAATCCCTTTACCTTTTCTATTTATTTACCACTGCATTTGAAAGAGGAAGTATTTTTTTTTTTTTATAAATCTTCAAATTTACTTTTCAAATAAAGCACAAACACAAATAAAAACTTACTTTCAAAACAGTCCTGTATGATTTTCAGTAAGTTCTGACCTGGCTGAACATTAATCTCTTTCCTAGAAAGAGAAGTTAAAAATGATTGGGGGGAAAATTAAAAAAAAAAAAAAAAATCAAAAGCACTACTAAGTATTCCTACCTAACCTGGCAATACAAGAGCATCTGCAACAAACATTAAAGTTGTTATTACTTAATATTTTACACTATTGACACTTAATATTTTACACTGTTATTTCTTTCACCAGTTCAAAATGGAAGAGCTTTCACCTATCATTTCCACAGATAGATGCACACATAAAAATTTGTCTAAATAAGCAGTCCAGGAGAAAAACGGATTCCAGTAACACCGAGCTCCCTGACTTCAGACATATCATTTGAAAAGCTTTCAACAAAACAAATACTCAAAATAATCTTCAACATTTACCAGGAATGGTTAAATAACAAAAGCAGGAACTCTGCATGCACTTCATTTGCTATCTCCTGAAAGGAAAACTGTTTACGTGGACTACTCTTTCTGTGCCTATCTAGGCGTAGCTCTAAACCATAGGCTGGCCCTTAACAGGGAAACACAAAGCAAAAGCAATAAAATAAATATGTAAATAAATAAATGCAATTTTCCCAAATAGCACTCTCTAAAATGAGAATTTTAAATGTAAGTGTAATTACCCTCCTCCATGGCAGAATCTTGATCTGTAGTCTTTTTTTAAAACATTCTGTTAAGAAAGAAAAAACAGTTTTCACCAATCATGCTGCTACTTGAAAAAAAAACAAAAAATCAACTTTCCTTTTCTCATATAAGCAGGTCTTGAGGGTTCCTGATTCACCACAAACTAGCAGGAGTTACTGCAGCCCTGTGATTCTTGGAATCCTGCAACTCCGAGATGCGCCCACCATCTCTTCAACAACTACCAGGAATTCATCTTTCCTTAAGAATCATTAACTATGTGTTGTATTTAAATTAACTGTGAGATTTAAATGAGAAAAATGTTACATAGCCTGAGGGTTTAGTTAACTTTTAAAACTATTGCCACTACAGAAATACTCACCTTAATAAAGAATCAACAACCACCTGGCAAATTAGGACATAACCTTACAACCCAGCTACTGCTCTTTGGAAACTGCTCACAGGGTGATTCTTAGTCTCTATTTATCATGAACAAGACCACGCTGAGAGGCAGCTATGGCTTAACATCCATTCTGTAGTAACATTCCCACCTCCCAGCACTTGGTCAGCTACTCAAACATTAAATACAACCAAAGTCACTTGAATACTATGAGTCGATTCATCAGCTATCACAACGTGAGCATCAGTAATCCAAATATCAGTTTATTATAAGCATAACTCTCTATGCCAAGAAACGAAATAAAGCCTATTGAATTAGAAGCAGGGAAATACTGTATAGAGAAAAACAGGAAGATAAACAAGTAAGATAAAGCCACTATGCTAAGCAGAGTGTAGTTTTTCACTGATGTGACTATAATATATGTATTTGTTGTAAATCTATATGTTTAGCTCTCCCAATCTGCTGCTGCTGGAGCTAGTGCATGTGCAGCACGAAGACACCGTCCTCATGCCACAAAAGTCAGCATGCTCTCCCTAGTAATTTTGCCACACTGAAACCACCTCATCTTTCCTGACAGAAAACGATAGCGGCAGCTTGTGTTTTTTTTTTTTTTTTTCAGGTACTTCTGCGGATTTGTTTATGGTAATAAACAAAAGACTGGGGGGAAAAAAAAAAAAAAAAAAATTTTATTCCATTTTATTCCAACAACAACAACTGGTGATCATGTTAATGTACATAGAGCTTTTAAAACTCTCCCCCCTCTCTCTGACAGCGGTCCCGGGGGGATGTCATGCACCCCTTCAGACGAGACCCACCGACCCCCGCAGGGCGCCGCCCGCCTCAGCGCGCTGAGGGAGCTGGGGGAGGGGAGCGCGACGCGCCACGACCGTTAGGGACGGTAACGGCCGCCCGCCGCTTCCCGCGCGCCCGGCCTCGCGCCCTCTCACCAGCGACTCCGCCATCCCGCGCTGCCGCCGCCACGACGAGGAGAGCCGACCCTGGGGCGCGGGCGGGCGCCGGCCCCTTCCCGCCTCCTTCCCTCCTTCCTTCCTTCCCCCCTCTCCGCTCCCTCCCGCCTCTTGCTCCTGCCGCCGCTTTCAAACCTCGGGGGTGGGGGGGGCTTTCCCGCTGCGCGCGCGCAGGGCGGCGGCACCGCCCCCCGCTCCCCTCCGCGGCGCCCCATTGGCCGGCGGCGGCGGCGGGGGCGGTTCCCTCGCGCGCGCCGGCCGTTGCCGCGCGTGCGCAGCAGCCTCCGTCACCCGCTTCATGGCGGGAGGTGGAGCTCCCGCCTAGTGCCTTGGGGCACCATGAACTGCCCTGGATGTTGATCCGTGTCCCTTCCTCGGAGGGCTATCCAGGCAGCCGCTCCATCTTTCCTCCTCCCTTTGACGCATAGCACAAGCATCCATTTCAGAAAAGTTGAAAGAGTCAGGTTTCTAAACGCCCCAGAGTAGCTACAGTCCCCACACGCTTTTAGATTTTCTCAGAGTACCCTGAGATCTGTCACTAACCAAACCCTTTGGAAGCAGATGCTGCTACTCAGCCTCTAAAATATTTTTAAAAGATACTTTTCAGAGTGCACAACCCAAGGCTGAGTTCATCTGTTCCAGCGTGCAGTCATTTTCAGCCTTGGCAAGATGTAACAATGTCTTATCTTCACAAACCCTTCTGCAACAAATCAGATTCTGCCGTTTAAATGAAATTAAGAGAGAATGCATGTGAAATCCTGCAATATGAAATGTGTACAAAACCTGAGACCATGGACCTGTCCACAGCAGGAGTTAGAAGACATGGACCTCTCCTTTCTGTTAGGACTGGTGAGCAAGCAGTTGTATGAACCATCATAGATCAGTTTACAGGCCAGTCATGTACTCATTTTCAGATGCATATTGCTACCAGAAAAGGATGAAAATGTTCAGCAACAAGTGATCGGCAGAAATTTGTTCCATTCACTTTGTCTCCCATACCAACAAGTACCAAATAACATCTCTTGTCAAGTCATTCAGAAAGTATTCTTTCTGAACACTAGGAAAAGGCCAGAAAACAAGTAAAATGTAGTGATTCTGTGAAATCAGCAGAAATTCACCCATTATTTCAAAAGGACAGATGTTTCACTCCAGAACTACAAATGACCTTCACAACTTTTAAAAGGGTTTTTAGTTCTCCCTCTCCTGCACACTCCTTAGAAATTTGCCTGCCAGTTATAAACAGCAGTAGGGAAAATTATTTCCATATTATTTTGTGGGTCATGTAGCCCTACTAGATGTCCCGTGTCCTCAAGAAATTTCAGCTAATATTAAACACACAGTCACACAGAAAACTGTAAATAATACTCTGGAAGATGCTAAGAGCCTGAACAGGCTCCCTAGGTGGCAGGTAGCTCATGTAACCCTCGTGAGACCCAATTCCAACTTTAAGTTATCATCAACAAGCTTTTCTGGTATTATCTCTGAGCTAAAGCAGTCATGGTAACGATGCCATTTTTATACCCAAAGGATCATTATTTGGCTGTTCCTCCTCAAGCAAACCGTGGAATGAACTCAAGGACACTGAGAAAGCTGAAAAAAAGACCTTCTGAATCCATTCGGTCTGGTTCCTCCTGTGATGACACGTCGAATAACGAGTCTGCGGCATGTGCTGACCTCAAAGTACGGAGACTTCCTTTTTAAGCTTTGCCTTTTCCCCGCTCTCACCAGGGCAAGTTCTTCTCCATCTGAGGCTGACACAAGGCACACAAGAACAGGAGAAGGGGAGGAAAAACTATCTGATATCCAGAGGACAAAAAGAAACATTATGGAAGAGCCTGAGAATATCCCTAAACCAGCTCCCCGGCGGATCTTCCATGAGAGACAGAGGGTGACCCGCCTGCCTTTATACTTGGAAGGTTATCTGTCGATCCGGCATCCAAGACACCAGGTAAGGCGACACTCCCAGCAGTAGATGCATTTAAACATTTTGGCAAAAATCTGTTACCATGAGCTAAAGACTGGAGGGAGAAACGCATCCCAATTCTGCCCTATATATATAGTTGCACTAGGAAAAAAAAATCTAATTTGCACTTTCAGACATTTCTGTTCATGGTTCTTAAAGAAAGTAAACTAAAGTATGCAATGTAACCATCAATATCACCATCGCCCATTATGATTTACTGCTGTCTATTGAAATGCGGTCCGAGTGTGACTGATTTCATAGCTAACACCACGGTAAAGGGTTAGTGCCATATTTTTGATATCAAAAGCAACGTTTGACATGGTAGTGTTGTTCTGATGCATCCTGTGTTTACTGGAAAAAAAAAAAAAGTCCGTGATTAAATATCCAGTGACACCGCACATACCTCAGATACCTATTTTTTTGTTTGTTTGTTATAGGCTGATCCTTTAACATAAGCAGACTAACTAGAAAAAAAGAAAGTACCTTGATTTTTTGACAAAGAATATCCATTTAAGACCCAAATCCATAAATGCCTTCGTACTTTTCTGTGTGTTTCTGTGTGTATATTTTCAGAGCATGTCCTTAATGAAGTTAGTTGTTTTTGTTAGTCCTTGACAATGACGATGCCAATGACAATTCCTACACTTAGGTTACAAAGTAGTCTTGCACTTATCCTTCCTGCATTCTCATCTCTGTAGAAACAAAAGCACAGAGATGAGAAAATGTGAGTTACAGAGGCTAAAGATGGACATAGTCAAAGGACAAAAATAGCAGGGTGCTTCACAAACACCAGAACAAACAGGTTCCACAGAAAACAGGAACTCTAAGAAACAAAAAGCAGCCAAAAAATGTCTGCAAGCATTCAAAATTATTCTAATGCACTGCTTTGCTCTATCTAGCATGAGAATACCTGCATGTTGAATAAAGCCCCTTCTCACATCACTTTATTTATGTGCTTTTATGTAAAAACATCTTTTTCCTGAAGATTCTGAAGATTACTCCTTCTGAAACATGTTATTTACTACAGTAGAATAAGAAACAATACCAGACCAGAGCAATAACATATAAACAATCGAGACAGGCTTATGTGAAATCAGAAGAACTTATTAATACGTATTTCTTAACTAGATCTGACTTTCAAGAAATACCATGTTACTATCAGCCACCTCCAATCTTACTGCACCTTTTTGAAAAAATAAAAGGATTCTGTGGGCATCAGTTTTGCAAATACATTATTTTAAATATCCACAGATGTCTTTGAGTAATGGCTAGCTTCAGTTTGTATAGGGCTGTTACAAGTACTAGTCCCTCCTGTGGTAATCATTCTGCTGCCTAATTTGACAGAAACTACCAGAAAATCTAGTTAGGAGTTAACAGTGTAGAGAGCAAGGATCACCTGCAGGCTACCCAAGGGAAAAAATATCTTGTTTCCTCTAATTCATACAACCTTACAGTCTTGAAGACTTTGTTTTTCTCTATTTCTGTGAAAATCTCTGATTTTGTGACAAAAAGAAAAATCAAAGGAAAAAAAAAACCAAAAGATAACAAAGCAAAACAGTTAAGTAAACTGCAAAACAGAACAGAGCACCTGTTTTATATGTTTGTATTCCCAATTCATAGTCCCATAACAGATAGATTTTTCAGCAACACAAGAAAAAGAAAAAAAAGTTTCTTATTCAGGGCATGATTGTATTAGGGAACATGTATAGCAGTGGGTCAGTCATACTTACTATGGCGTGCTGTTAATTTACAAACACCATAACATGTAACTTAAAGAGAAAGTACATAAAGTGTTTCCCATTCTATGGCACATTAGGACACTAGAACACAAAGCCAGGAGCCTGTGTATCTTTCTAGCCATCAACAAATTGGTTAATAGCCTTTTTTTTTTTTCTCTTGCATTGCTTGCAAGTATATCTTCACTCTTCAACGTTCTTTATAACACTGATATAAAAGCAAATGGTGACATTTTATATCAGTACTCTAAGCGTTTTGTGGGAAAGGAAAAGATCATCGTGACAAACAAACATTTCCTCTGTTCAGCAGGAATTTGAAGTGAATTGGGCAGAGCTCAGAGGAACTACGCTCTTCTTTTACAGTGATAAGAAAGCCCCAACAGTGAGTAACATACTATCTTTGTGATTATGCATTTGATGGACTGCACCTGTTATATACATGAAGTAACCTTTCGGTACCCCAGAGACTTCTCTGCATTCTTTTTCTCATCTGCAACCAAGCAAGTAGTGTCTGACATTGTAAGGAAAACACTGAGATTAAAATAAAAAAGAGAGATACAAGCAGCAGCTTACTGATTTGTCTGTTGAAAAGAAAAATAAAGATTTTTTTGGGCATCTGAGCTGTAAATGTAACCACAGTGCTCCATAATGATGATGAGTGTGCTTTCCTCAGGTTTGCAAGAGTATAATACGGCTTCATGTGTAATAGGGCATTTCTTTATGCAGGTAAGGAAAAAGTGCTTGACATTATCAAATACTCACGTGGGTCTGGTGGGTTTATCATGTCAGGAATTATGAAGACCAGAACGGGAAAAATCCATCCATGGTTCACACATACAGTGATGGGCTTTGAGCTGACTATGGCAACTCAGGAACAAGACCTCAACTTTACAGTAGACAGTTCTATAAAAAGGTCACTTCAGCATCCAACAGTGGTCAAAACAACAAAGCAAATGCTAGGAATTATTGGCAAGGGAATACAGAATAAGAAAAAAAAGAAAAGATCATTAGGCCACAGATTGGAGTCCAGCCTCTAGGCCCTAAAAGAACGTGTCGCTCATGCCAGTTTTGGTGATGGGCAGCAAAGAGGTTATGTCCTGGTACTGTACATGACATAAAAGCCTTCCTGCTAACAGGAGAGCTACAGTAGCTACTCAAAGCAGAGACAAGTGGCTTGGGTACCCAGGAAGTACATTGTTGCTGAAAAGAGCTTTTGTAAGCAGGTAGCAAGGGCTGAGCTTTAGCATGCATGTCACTGACCCTTAACCCAAACTCCAGGAAGGAAAAAGTCTTAACATGTTTTCTGCTAAGCCAATTTCTTTGGAGAACAGCTAGATTTTTGGTGAATATTCCAACTTACATTATTGCTCTTTTTTCCCTCCTTAGTACTCAAAGAAATTAGATATAGCATCTTTGATCTCAGTAACCAATACCCATCCAGATGAAAATGGCTTTGCACAGTTCATCCTGATGCTGTTGAATGAAGAACTAGAACTGAAGGTAAAAAAGGGAAAGCTATCATTTGTGAACCCCCCAGTGCTTTGCTGTATCCCTTGCTGAGCTCCATTTTAACATGGGGGTACAAGCTGCCTTTGTAGCCTCAACATGTGCAACCAACCTGCAGACAGAGAGTACCCAAAGGCAGTTAAAGGCAGAGGGAACTAACATTAGGGAAATTCTCCCTGTAGGCGTTAGAGAGTTTTCTCGGGAGTATTTGGGAATATAAAATAAGAATTGGAAAAGAAAATATGTGAGAGAAATCAGGAAGATACACACTAACATATAATCCAGATGCCTATAGATGCCTATAGCCAGGGTCATCTGTAAAACACTGAAGAGCAATAAAACATCTATCCATACCCCCATCCAGAAGCCACAGTGGTTACAGTACTCACAGACCACTTAGAAAGTTTTCTGCTGAGCCCCATCTATCTCCTTAGCTTTTTCTCCTGTTTGGATTCCTTTTACACCACCAGAGCCCACCCTTTCTTACCTTCTCATATCTGAAATTGAAAATGGGGTATGAGGGAAGTGATGGGCTTCAGGATGTGAAATAGGCTGGTAGGGTACTTTTAAAGGGATGAGGGCTATGGGAGTCTCGCAAGTGAAAACACGATACAGTTTTTTGCTGCAGCCATTCTTAAACTGTCATTTTCTGTTCTCTCAGGCAGAGGACAGTGAACTTGGGAAAGAATGGAAGGGTTTTATTCTCACTGTAACAAAGGTAGGGAAGAGCTTTGTATCTTGCTCTATGTCAAAAGTGACAATGAGGAGTTTTTGTCTTTGAGCCTGCCACCAGTTGGCTTCCCAAGCCATGTAGTTTTGCTGCTAAGGTGTTTGCACACACTAAACTGTTGGGTTGGTTGCAACCACACCTAATTTTTTTTTCTGAGGAGGTCAAAATTTAAGATGATTTTATCCCTGCTCATCTGCCATGGTATCTAATAGTCAGATCTCAACCCACTGTTTAGGAAGACTTTTAGCAAGTGTCTGTTCCCTGGCAGAAAAAGTTGGTATTTCCCACAAGCCTTGCCATGGCACTTCAGAAGTGACTAAACTTAACTGCTGTTTCCATATTGTTTTCCCTCAGAGCTGCTTTTATTGGATAAAACTCACAGCATTTTGCCAGCCAAGGATTTTAAAATGAAAGGAACTAACCTGGGTCATGCCAGTGCTAGAATTGCTTATTTGCTTCAGTCTCTTTAAATAGCTAAACTTTTTTTCTCCTCTTTCCTAATACATGGGGAGTCAAAAGTCTCATTCACATGTTAAAAAAATACAATCACTGATAATTACTGTGGAATAACTATTCCTTAATAGTTTCATATGAACTCCTTACACAATATCTTCTTAGCTAAATGTGCTTTGAAAACAAAACTCTCATTGATTACTGCCAGGGGGAAACCAAATGAGATTTCTAAGTGCATGGCAGCTGCACTTAGAAATTAGTTGTGATTGACACAGAAGCTATTGATCACAATGTTTGCCACCCTTTCATTTCCTTTTTAACACTGGTGTTCATTTTCAGATGTCAGTGCCCCTGGATGAGTCGTTATCACCTAGTCAGCTTATGAGAATGCATGAAGTGCTGGAGAAAGAAAAGAAAAGAAGGATGGTGCTTAACGACCATTCGAGCGCATCTGCGGATGAAGAAAGCTCTCCTCCCAGGAACTATAGCAGTATATTGACCGCTATGCCAGCGTAAGCTCTGAGCTATACCAATCCCAAACTGACCAGAAAGCCTCACTTTCTTCTTTGAAAACATTAATTTCCTACAGAGGTTTAACATTCAACTGTTGTGCAAGGGTTGTTTGATAGTCAATGATGCAAATGTCCCTTTAAATCTGATTCTCTGGAGATTTCCTAAGGGGAAGATTATTGTTGCAGCTTTTCTACAATGCATTTTTGTTTGGAAAACAGTGGGAGTGTAGCGTATTGCTCTTCCAGAAGAAAATACTGATTCTTTTTGAGAAGTTTAACTTTAATTCTGATTACACATCTCACATTCTTGGCAAGGCTCTAGAGGTCAGCACGCCTGAGCCAAAGGTGCCATTTTCTCTTTGAGAAAGCCTTTAACTATATTTCTATAATAGCCTTGTTCAGCAAGAGTCTTTCAGGTGTCCTGCCTATCCTGCCTGCACAAGCCTAGGTCTGACAGGATGCATTCCCGTGGCGGTACAGCTCATAAGGACAGGGCCTTGCTAGCATTTATTTGTGCTGTTCCTCTCCTCTATGTAGGTGTTTCCACGCAGTATCCCGGCAAGGAGCGATAGAGATGTTAGAAAAGAACCCTTCATATGGGAATTTGATCCTGCGGCCTGGCAGCAGCAGTAAGAACTTCGCAGTCACCATTCGACATGTGCTGGAGTAGGTTGATTCCACAGTATATCATTCCAGTCTTAATCACAAAGAACACAGTCTTCATCACAAAGAACAGTTTAAGAGTGCAACAAACCATACCCCTTTGTAAACTGAACAGATCAAATGGAAATGTTTTTAAGCAGTAACTTAGTCTAAAACACACAGACATCAGAACCTTGTAGCTTTAGCAGCTTGCTTCAAAATCAGAACCCAGGAAAAAACATCTGCGATTCTCAACACTCCTAAACTAGAGCAAGGTCAGAAAAAAATAAACCCTTCGGCCAGACCTAGGGAAATTACAAAACAGATCTACTACTTCTGTAAAGTTGTTTGTAAGGACAGCACTTATTCATCAAAAGGGATTTTATTCCTGGCTGCACATTAACCTCCCTTTTATTTCTTTCCAGTGCCCCATTCATAAAGCACTATAGAGTAATGACCAAAGAAAAAGGTTTTGCCATTCAGCTGGAAAGACAGGTAAGTGAGCAGTTCTTTTGCTGCAGATTCTTAAGTGGGTATAAGAAACATCACAGAAAATTTGAAAAATCAGAATAAATTTTTATGTCTTGCTAGTCTAACTAATCTGATCATGAAGAACTCTTCTGCTGAGGACAGAAGACCTAGACAAGCAGAAAAAAAACACGCCAGCCTTTTCTGTCCCTTTTTTTTTTCTCTTTTTTTTTTTTTTTACCAAAAATAAAAGCAAACTACCACCACCACCAAGATTACTTGAAAATGGCTTCAATTCTTTCAACTCAAACTTCAGTAGTAAGCCTGCAAACTGACATCTGCAAAAACACTGCCAGCAGGTTTTTGCAAGCTGCAAACTGTAACTCACCCAACGTGTTTTGAGTGCAGTGTTTTTTTCTTTTTTTTCCCCCCATGAAACAGGTGACAGTGTCGACCCTTCACGACGTCATCGATTACTTTGTGACCCAGACCCGACGGCACTTGAAACCCTTTGTCATACCTGCAGATGCCTGCACTCTGCAGAGGGCTTCGGGTCTCGAAGGTAAGCTAGCTGCTGGAGACCTGCACAGGAACTAGCTCACTGCAGCACTCACAGACACAGAAGCAGCACGCAGGGACCCTGCACTAGACCTAAACATGGGTTTTTTTTCCAAAGCTCCTGTTGCAGGAAGGTTTTGTTAGCCTTAAACCAACAAGGCAGTGCTGCTTCTGCCAGAGATCCTTCTGAAACACGGAGAAGTCATCACACAAATAGTTCTCAAAGCAGGGAAGTACAAATACAAATAACCCCACTTCCTACAGAAAACTAATTCCTAAGGAAAAAAAAAGTTGGGGAGAGAGAGAATGCACTGCCCCAGTGAAATATGATGGAAAATACTGTCTTGCAATGAGGAAAACAACACTTGCAGGTCAAAGTGCAAGGAACTCTCTGTGGCACATCCCTGTAGCGTGTCAATGTACTTGAAACAATGGTAACATCCCACAGGGAGAGCAGAGATGCCTCATAGTTGCTGGGGCTTTAAGCTCTGCCAGAGAAATCTGGATTATTTTCAACTAGGGGCTCCTGTGACAGCATTGGGGCAGCAAGTGCCTGGCTCTTAGCATGGAGGTGCTAAAGTAGCTAGCAGCTCCACTGTACGAACAGGGTATGTGCTAGGCAGATGTACTCTTTAGAGTTCCTTATACATTTTAAAAGCTTTAATTAATTGCCCCATCTCATCAATATATTCACCAGAACAAAACCTCTACCCTTGTGCAGCCCCTAGACTCTTCAGGAAAGAGTTTTATATGAAGTGAAGTACTAAGACTTGGTTCTTTCTTCCCTCCATGCAGCTGTGCCAACTCCAGTGCAGGTGCCAACAGAAACCAAATGGGAAACTATCCCCAATCCAGGAGAAAGACCACTCAGGGCCCCTGTTCCTAACCACCAAGTACCACCGAGTCAGGAATATACTGGCCCTACATCAAGAGCATCCGGAGCAACAAAGGGTGAGGAAAGAGCAGCTTTTTTTCCCCTTTTACACTGAAAGCTGTTTTTAAGAGACAAAGTGAGTGTCACAATATTTGAAGGTTAAGGACCTCATGCAGCGAGTCTCACCACTCGTTTTAGACATCTATAGATATCACCATCATAAATATCACCAGGACCCGTTTCTAATGGCCTCCTTCATTCCAACCCAAAAGACTGGTGTAAAACTCAGGCTTCTAACAATGCGCTATGAGTCTTCTGACTTTCCCTCATCTCTGGTTATTTCCTCTCTGCTCCCATTTTAAGATAGTTCTGCACCATGATGTTATGCTGAGTGTTCATTCTCTTGGGTACAGAGAGACAGAAATTGGAGGAGGGCAGGTTCTCCAGGGCAGGGTGCAACTTTTTGAGCATACATTACAGCCTTAAGCATAACCAAGGCCTTCTGCCACTGCCTTGCCCTACTCCACAGCCAGATGCAGCTACTTCTTCTTTCAAGAACCTAACAAAATATTCTAAGGTTTTCTCAACAGCATAGAAACCACTTACAGTCCATGAGCTAGCACCAGCCCTACGGTGTTAGGGCAGACAACTGCAAACCTGCAGTGGAAAATGGAAAGTTAGGGCGACTGCAACACCTCTTACAGGGCATTTTCTCGTTCTCTGGTTTTGAGATTTCTCCCTCTTTCTCTCCCCTCCCCGCTTCTTCTAGAGTCTTCCAGAACAGAAATCAAGAAAAGAACAAGACAGAGGCAAGAGGGGCTGGAAAAGGCATGAATCAACCCAAGAGTGCTGCAAGCAGTGACTCTCAGCAAGCCTTTGAGAAACACAAAGCCGCTGGAAAGGAGGGTGGAAAGGAAGCTGGCCTTGTTTTAGCCTTTGAAAGCCCTTTGGTCCAATTAAAAACAAACAACAAGCAAACAAACAAACACCAATCAATCAAACCCCAAGATTCTTCACCTGGTGGAACGAACGGAAACCACTTTTATTCAAATCATTTTAGATCCGTACAACGAAATTCATAGCCAGGAGTGCAGGGCTATTTTGAACCTCAGCAGCTTTTTTGAAAGTAGAAAGGGGTGAAAGGTAGGGGGAAGAAATATTTCAGGTTCACTCTTATTGAAATCTGAGGAAGAGAATTTGCAAACACCTCCCAAAAGCTGTAAGCAGTGTGGGTGCTTGTAAAACGGAGAGATGCTACCAGATCCAGAAACCTTCACGAAGCATTTGCTTGTCAGTATTGCCTCCTCGCTCCTCCCAAACAAAGGGGCCCCACTAGTGCAGTCTGTTGAGGAACAGGGTGTCATGAAAGAGAAAAGCAGCATCCCCAGAAGTCTGCAGGCTACTAATTGCTTAAAATCAAAATGCCACATAGAAAACAGGCTGCCAGTCTTCCTCAGGTAAGCTACTGCATTATGATGAATGTTCATTCCCAGCTGCTTTAAGCAACCACAAGTCCCCAGGTCTCAGTAACAACCACCTGGGAGCAGCAAAGTCTGCCCTGGCACCAGTGTCCTACCCTGCTGGCCAGCTGCACCTGTGTCGAGGTGCTGTGTCACAGGATTGCTGTGGCCTTCCATCAAAGAGCAGCTCTGTCACTTCCAGCGTGCAGCTTCCTCTCATGCAAGAGTTTCCCTGCAGCTACATCCATCTGCTTTAATAAAGAAATAAAGGATATCACTTTATATTCAGAATTTTCATATACTGGTATTGAGCAATTTTTTGTGTGTGTGACAGTACAGCTTTCTTTTCTCAAAAATATTTAGTTGGTGAGGATGGGGCTGCTCCACATGAATTAAGTTAGAGGCACAGCTTTTTCTTAACATGAAACTGAAACTTGTATGTTACTGTGGGAAGTGAAAATATTGCTTTACCTTGCCTTCACTGTGCAAAGTGATTCATTTGCTAACAGGATAAATAAAAAATTGGGTTTTTTTTACTCACTAGATGCATAAAGTCTTAAATTCACCTGAACCAGGCTTTATCTATGAACAAAGTCTTACTAATGGCAGCATAATGTTCACACAAAATCTCCGTGGCTCTTTGCATGAGGAGACATGGAGATTAGCTGTGGAAAACAACTGAGCTAGCAGCAGAGTGCCTAGTGCTTTATATGCACAAACCTTGCTGAGATTATTAAGAGCTGTGAGAATTTAAGGAAAGTGGAAAGCTAGTTTGGAGCAGATGCTGTAAGAAAGCACAGAGGGGAGGGAGAAAGATTTTGCTGCTATTAGATTTGATCTCTGCAACTCAGCTTCTCTTGCACCGAGTAACTTTGTGAGGGAAAGCTGTACAAAGCTTCCTTTTCCTGCCATCCTGCCCACCATCTCGAGCTACTGGCAAGAGGCAGATGTAGAAAAGGACTGTATGCAACAAATTCACACGGAATCAGCTCACCCCAATCTGCACAACCTCCAACATGAGTATGTACCTTTCACGTATCAGCAACTCCTTAAACTTTGAAACATGAACACTGGTTTTGATCAGCCATTTGGCGACCACAGCGTCCTTGCTCAAAATTTCATTAGTTTCTCACCCTCTAATTTTGACAAATGATGGTGCTTTTGATTTGCCCTAAATATATCAGTAATCAGTGATTTCAGTTAGATCCTAGACTATAATATTGCCACAGGGAAATATGTTTCTGTTGCTATTTAGAAGCAGTAGCTCACCAGCAGTTTGTGCCTCTCTGCACTACTCTCAAGGTGGTCCTCTCCTGCCGCCAAATGTTTCTCTAACACAGGTTCCTAAAAAGTAAGGTAGTTTACAAAGCAGCATTACTATTTTATAAAATTTTACCTATATACAATGACTGCAAAACTATATACACCTTCCAGAAGATACACTGCGCATAAGATTAATTCCCAAATATTGGAATAACTGTGTTGATTCCAGCGTTTCAGTTCCATGCGTCTTAGTGTCCCAGTGCCCAGTTTAATGGCTGTTTTTCCTGACCTAACTGAGAAGGGAAAAAAAAAAGGGGTGTGTGTGTGTGTGTGTGTGTGTGTGTGTGTGTGTGTGTGTGTGAGAGAGAGAGATACTGACCTATACTGCTCACTGAATGTAAAAAAGATTCTTAAACATTAATAAATTATAAACAAGGATGAATTATTCTAAGCAGCCAAGAGCTTTCCTAACAGCTGCATCAAAATACTCTGCATTTGCTATTTCCAAAGCTTAAGAAAATTAAAAGCTTTTCCAGTTCAGTAGGTTTTTATTCTAATCTCATTTCACTCTATTCTCATCAGGAAAAAAAAACAAACAAACAAAAAAATCAGCTCCAGTGTTTAGAGAAAAAAAAAAAAAAATCAGGTGTTGTCACAGATACTTCTGTACTGTGACAGAGATACTTCTTCCTCAACACAGCAGCAAAATTAATCCTTAATTATTTCCAATTAAACAGATTCTTTGCAGTTAGTTAGCACGGCTTGCTTGGCTTCAGGGGAGCTGTGGCAATTTAAATCTTGTTGCACAAGACCTGTCCTCAGCACTTCCATGTTAAGGCTCACATAAGAGCTGCTCTAACATTGAGCTTTGCTATGAGTACGGTTCATCTGCTTCCCAGTGCCACTTTTAGACATTTGGATGGATTATTTCTCACGTGTAGATGGCAAGGCTGAAATTCTAGTTTTAGAAGGATACAGCATATGGATTTAAGATGTTCTCGGAACACCAGAAATATCATAAAACAGCAGTTTCCCCAATTTTGCACTTCACTCCTTCAACGCTTAATTTGCACGCGGGGATAAGAAGAAGGGTGAACCTAATAAATTATTTTCTTCTTCAGCTTCCCATAAATTAATACAAATCTTGTCTTTATCGTAAGGACTGTACTGGACATCCCATTTCATGGAATGGCCAATCATCCTTTTGAGGAAACAGGCATGAAGAAAGCAGGAGCAGATGAAACATAAATCCAGTTTGTCTTCGGTGCAAGCCACTGACTTTCACCGTTTGTTTTAATTAAGGCTTCACCAAAAAGAAATATATAGTACCACCTTTAATAGCTGAAAATTAGCACACTCCCTTCAAAACAAATGGTCCTGGAGTGACTTTTTGGAGTGACATCAATTTTCTTCCTGAACAAAGTAGTATCTCACTGGTGGCCCTGGCAAGTCTTCATCTCCATCGGTCTCTGGAGCAAACGATACCGTCAAATCCACGTACTTCTTATCAGCAGATGGTTTCACAAGCTTTTGCATCCTGTAAGGAAACAAAGAACAGTTTGTTAAGATAGCAAGAGAAGTGTGTGGGGGGGAAATCTGTGCCAGATTAAGATGGATTTTACTCCTAGCTATGAAGTCCAACATTCAGATTAAAAGAGGAGAAGGAGCCTTCTACTAATCCCAGAATCACAGGTTGCTACTCCACCTGAAGCACCGCAGCTGGACTGCTACTTTTTCACCAGACTGATTTCACTGATTCCTAACAAGTACTCCATATGAAAGAAAAGATAAAATGTCCACACTAATATGGGATTCCTCACCTGCATGAGCTTTCTTTAGCTTCCTAGTAAGGAACACAGCAAAGTCAGCCTCTGCTGAAGGATTCTGGTTTGCAAGTATGACTCCCAGTCTACCACCAACAGCAGCTGTGATACCTTTTCTCCACAGAGAGGACCACCAGCCGGTCAACATAATCCCTAGGTGTAGTCACATCCCCGAATCCATTGCTCCGCTATACTTACGTCAGCTTTAATCTTTTAATATGACCTGGCATCACAGGAACATAAAGCATTTTGACTCCCTGTACAACCATAGTGGGTTCGATTCCGTATTTCTCCTGCAATTCACAAATTAAAACATATTAGAAGAGGATCTGCACAAGCCAGCAGAACCACCTAGCTCTCATACTGTGAGCTGGCTACTCAAAAAACACCAACTCCTAACCAGAAAAAAATGCTAATGTATAAAAGATGACAGTCTAAAAAGATACATTTAAATAAATGGAATTAGCAAAGGATTTTAAAATAGGTTTAGACATGTTTACTGAGAGACTAATGCTACCATTGGTATTATTTTTTTCTAGAATTATTCTGGTTTCAACAATAACTTTACAAAGGCCTAAACAACAACAACAAAATCTTTCCCTTCATCTTGTAGTAAACCAGTACAATAGATAGTATCTTACTCTGACAGCATTGATGAAGTCCAAGAGAGTAAAATCCTCTTTCCCATAAATGGTCCACCTGTCCCAGATTGTAAATGATATCCCATTTCTATTTTAAAAAGAAAAAGACTGTTACTCTACAGTGTGAACTCCAGCATTTCCTTTAAACGTATATTGAAGATTTACTGTCTCTTCTGGTGACTTGCTGTTTTCCCTTGAGGAAAAAAAAAAAAAAAAAAAAACATCTTTTCCCTCTCTGCTGCCACTTCTCCTGCCATTTGATCTGGCTAAACATAAAACATTTGAACTTAAAGCTCTTAACTCTCACAAAACGGCAATAAATTTACGGGGCCTTTCAGACCTACTGAAAAATAGGCTTTACACTGAGCAAGATAAGAAGTGTGTTCAGTGGGAGCATACAGGATGTTTATTAATAACACTGTTGCGTGTCTATCTTACTAGCCTCTAAAAATCTAGGCAAGAAACAGCTTCCACTGAAAGCAAAACCAGCTTCTTAAAACCACCAGGTTTAAAATTAGGACAGAAGAATGTATGCATGTGCTACATTCTCCAAATTAGAAGTTTTTGAGCTGTGCAGTGTGAGGCAACTTGGCTAGTTCTAAGAATATCAGAAAGAGTATCAGTTACACTTTTAGTAGTCTATAGTAAATAGATAATCTAGTTTGATAGCAAGCAGTAAGTGATTTGTGACTGGGGACAAAAAAAGGGGAAGAAAACATGCAAAATTGAACAGCTATGTATCTATAGTGTTGAACCAGAACATAGCCATGCAGTTGCATCCCAGTTGTTGTGCACTTTGTTGTGCATTTGTATGAGCAAATAAGGCCTAAATATCATTATTTGAGGGCCTTAATATGCTTGTCTGGATTTAACACTATGCAAACTCAGCACCAGGGATAATCACAGAATGGTTAAGGTTGGAAGGGACCTCTAGAGATCATCTAGTCCAACCCCAAACACATGAGTTGGGACTATATGAGTTGGGACTCAAGAAGATAAGGTCACACTAAGGATCAAACACTGGCTTTCTAGGATAGCACCATTGCTCCTCCTACCTTATTTCAGTTCTTCTTACTTCAGCAGTTTCTGTGAAGACTATTATCGGAATGGCTAAATTCAGAAAACAGTTCTTGTACGCCTCGGCGGCATAGCCCCCCACGACTTTGATGAGCTCCAGCGCAACCTGCAGCAAACACAAATCAGCCGCTTCCACAGGCCCAAACACAAGCAGCAGAAGCTTCTCATCTCACGAGTTCAGCTTGCGAACTCAGGCACCCACGCTCACACTCACCAGTCCCGACACTGCCGCGGTGGCCGTCGCGATCGCGGGGATGATCTTGCCAGCGATGCGCTTTGTTTTGAAGCGGTCTGCCGGTTCGATGTTGTACATCTTGGCTCGCAGGTTGGACGCGGCCGTTATGAAGTCTATGTGCCCGTTACTGTCGTCATCCTTCTCAAAGGAGATGGGCTTCATCTGCAAGTCGCCTGCTCGTGGGAAAAAGCAGAAGGCGTTATTGAAAAAGCAGAAGCAGAAAAAAGCAGAAGTCGTTAATGAAGGTGTCCTCAATATAAGCTGTAGAAAAGGACACCTTAACAAGCCCAAAAATGTAAGTACTGGAGCCTGGTGCAGGAATTCTAACATGCTTTTCCATGCCAGAAGGGGAAAATATCCTGCCCAGTGCCAATGCCAATAGTCGTTAGACATGAACACCGCAAGAGAAGCATCAGTGAGGACGGAAGAATTTATTTGCCTTGCAACACCAAGAACAGATGTCGGACTAATCTGTGAACGTTTCTTACTCTTCCGTCTCCTCAGTTCACACCTTTGATAATTCCCTCTGTAAGCCTTGCTTGTCTTTAGTCATTTCACTATGAGCTCAGGCACACAGACAGATTATCTTCACTACTTGTTCTTCTGAGGTAAGTTAACCCATGGTAACTAAAAGCCCACGTGCTTTTAGCATGGGGAAGATGGTTAAAGTCAAGCTAATCTGTCTCCCCTGTGGTCATGAGCTATGAATGCTCCCAAGCACTTGTTGCTCAGGGACCTTTTCCTTTGGCAAACACACACACACACTTTAATATATTCTAGATGCTGACAAAAGTGTATTAGTCTTCACAACTATGATAATTTCAGATCAGTTCCTGTAAGAAATCTCTCAGCCTTCTCATACGAGAACTTCTTTCAGATTCTCTGGGATTTAGTTGGGAATCCCATGGGATAGGATCCCGGAAGGAAGAGGTGTTCCAGAGAGGTGGTTAATATTCAAGGATCACCTCCTCCAGACTCGAGTGGTGCAGCCCAGCGAGCAGGAAGCAAAGCAGAGAGGGCAGGACACCTGCATGAACGACCAAGATGCTCCTGGCTAAACTCCAGCAGAAGAAGCAAGCGTAGAAAAGGTGGAAGCCAGAACAGGCTATTTAAGAGGAATATAGCGATGCCCTCTGAGTATGCAGGCATGCAATTAGGAAGGGGGAGGCCCGTTTGCAGTTGAATCTGTCAAGATGCGTCCAGGACAGCAAGAAGGGCTTCTATAAACACAACCAGTAACAAAATGAATGCTAGCGAAAATGTGAGCTTGCTGCTGAATAGGGCAGGGACCCTGGTGACAAAGGACACAGAGAATGAAGAGATACTAAATGCCTTGTTTGTGCTTAGTTTTGCTTTTAAGACAGAGTGAAAAGCAATGGGCACAAACTGGAACACGGGAAGTTCAGTCTGAGCATAAGAAAAAAAAATCTCTTTACTGCAAGGGCAAGTGAGCACTGGAACGGGCTGCACAGAGAGGCCGTGGAACCTCCCTCCTTGCAGAAATTCAAAGCTGACTGGACACAGCCATGGTCAACATGCTCTAGGAGACCCTGCTGGAGCAGTAGGTTTGGACCAGATGATCTCCAGAGATCCCTTCCAGCCTCAACCATTCTGTGATTCTGAGGGATCTTTCCCCTCCTTAGAGCTCAGTGCCCTGCTGCCCGCTCACAGTCATCATGACTGTACTTATGCATAACAGCTGCAAATTTTAGGATTCTCTATCTCAGAGATAAAGAGTACAGGGCAACGTCAAACAAGACGGGGAGTTACCTGCAATGGCACTCAAGAGAGCTTTAGTAATCAGCTACCTGCTTTTGGCAGAATTACTGAACAAGCTTTATTCAGAGTCTTGAGTTTCAAGCTACAGAGAGCACAATTACAGGCCATTACTAAGCTATAAAGCTAATTTTCACTACTCACTTTCCAAAGTTTCATTGGACAGTATAGACTTCTCCAGCTGGAAAATAGCATTTCTTTCATCTTCACTGCTGACTGGAATATGGTCTGGTTTCCTTGCAGCTTCATCTGTCTGCACAACCTGCAAGCACACACATTGCTTGAGTAATTAAATACATTATGCTTCTGCTACACAGAGTAAAGCATACAGATTTGGTGCCTTCCCTGCTTTCCTATCAAATCCTTCCCTCTAAATATATTCTACAGTAAAATACAATAAAATGACAATTGCACAGTTGCTTCAGGTTTAAGAATTTCTCTTCTAATTACACCATTTTAAAATATCTTCCAGAAATATGCAGTGCAACACACCTGTATGCAAACAAATCCACAGTGCTCAAGAGTTAGACCAAGAATTACAAATTAATCTTTGCTGCCATATAGTTGAACCAATTGCAGCCCACTGCAACAGCACAGAGTCAGAATACTAGTTTCGTTTCATGAGGCAAGCATCCAGGAGACAAGCATTAATAAAGGGCAAAAAAATATGAAACTAACTTAGAATTAACAACGAAGTTGTTCTAAGTGATGACAAATGCTAGCCACTGCACAATAACCTTGATACTTCAAACTGAACATTTCAAGTGCAAATGTTTAAGCTGTAATACTTTCTTAACAGTTTCTAGAAAGGACAAAGTAACTGGCACTGCGCAAGGATTATTTTAGAAGTTGCTTTCAAGTGGTTTTAGTAGTTTCACTAACACCCAAAACTATTGTACAGGCCTAGAAAAGCCTATAGATTTAAAATTGTACAGGGCAAAAGCTAACACACAAATTCATTTGTAAGAGCTTCACAAAAACTCACCTTGTATTCCACACATAGTGCACGGAAATCTTAGCTACATAAAATTAAAGCAATCCTGCATGGCACTTGTTTCCTCTAGTAACATTTTCATTCGTCTCCATTTCTGAACAGTATTAATGTAAGAACTAGTAGCAAGCCTGGAGCACGGCATGTGGACATTTTTCCTTCCTCTATTAAAAAATTATTTAAAATTAATTTAGAAAAAACTTACTTTATTGGAGGGTCTGAACTCTGGTACCTTTACAGCTGAAATTACCTTCAAAATAACTTCTTCTGACAAATCCTGTTTTCAAAGAAAAATAATTTAAATGCTCATCAACTCAACCCTTTCCACAGAGTGACTCTATGCCCAGTAGTATTTCAAAAACCCAAACTAAGAAAAAAAAAAAGAAGTATTCAGGCGAGGAAAACTAAGTGTAATCTTGAATAAAGATTCTTATCATCATTTTGCTATGAAAAGTAAGAACTGGCAAAACATAAATACATCTTATATTCTGCACCAAAATGTATTTTATATGTTTTTGATAGGCATGTATGTCAAAATGGGCACTGGAGTTAAAAATCAAAATTAAAATAATATCATCTACCATTAAAAATGTCTGTATTGCCTTTTATCCAAGCATCAGTAGACTGGAATTCAAACAAAAATAACAAAAAGGCCTTAGGGATATTTTCTCTCAGTTCAATTCTTACAATACACAGCAAACAGATCCATCAAAATAAGAACGTGAGTTCCACGCTTGCTGGAAATTATTTCATGCTGGCATGAAATCATTTACTATGTTAGTTATCTATTTTCCTCATTAGGAATTCAGATAAAGACAACTAACCTAACAGTCGTAGAAGAACTGGTTCTAAACGACAGAATATTTTAAGAATCATTTTAATCAATACACCGAAAGCAAATACCCAAGTTACAAGATGCACATGTAACGTTGTGACAATATGGATTACCTTTTCTGTGAAAGGAACACAGTACACTGTTGCAAAGAGCTTTGCTGCACTCACAATGAACGCATAGTGCCTGAAGGAAAGAGAGGGTTGGTTGTTTTATTTTTCCCTCCCACTTCTATTGCTTATATGAAGTTTTGGGTCACATTTAGGCAGGTTTTGAGAAAATGCACCAAGGAATAGAATTGCTGCCGTTCAGAGCACACAGAGTCCAAAACAGATAGCAGCTGTAGATTCAGAAGCCCTCCCCAAAACTGAGGAGCTAAAGAGGGATTTAATCTGGAGCAAACTGTATTTCCTTAAACTCTGCAGTCAAGAAAAGGACTGCAAACCCTCACAAGAGATCAGCATGGTCAGTATAAAGTTTCACCCCAGAAAGATTTTGATACTTCCAATAATCTGTTTTTATGCAACCTAAAAATGGTGATGAGGGCAGTTCCTCAAGGCACACACAGGCATGCAAGACAGAGTGCTTTCAGATGCATCAATCACACTAAGCTTTTAAATTATCCATAACGCCCAAAGTATCCAGAATCAGACCCAAATCTCGATGAAGGAGAAATGGCTTCCCACCAGTTGTTCATTTTAGGTAGTCAGTTTAATTTGGCACATCCTCTGTTTTATGATACAATAGTAGCAGGAGGAATGAGGGGTGTACAAGGACCACAGCTCAGGAGCTGTCCAGTTCCGCTGTAAATGAGCAAAGGGCCCATCTGCCAACCTCATGTCGGCTACTGGCAGAACTTCCCTAACACCCTCCTCTCCAATGGTAGTCAAAGTTAAATTACTTGCAGTCAAAGTGAAGCAATTTACCCAGTCTACCATAGCATAAAACCACACACAAATCCCTACCACCAAGGAACCTCCTCCAACTTCTAGTACTATAAAGCCTTACACTCTCTCCACTGCTGTGTGATGAGTTTTATAGCAGGCTCTGAAAAGCCCCAGTGGCAGGATCATACTTACAAGGGATTGCTAAATTCAAACTTCACTGGAAAAGGTGGCCTTTTTGGCGACTGCCAAAACAAACCTGGTAAGAAAACAGACCCGAGATGAAATCCTAAGCTATCAGAAACAGTAACACTCCATGGCCATGAGTTTGCAAGAAGCACAAATAGATATCTGTACTCACTTCCATCTTTTAATCGCGTATCAAGGGGAAAGGAATGAAGGAGCTGAAGAGCCTAGAGGAAAAGCAGAGTAGATTTAGTTATTTGTCGAACATAGATTAACATTAAACACTCTAAAATAAGCTTTCTTCTTACTAACTGAAAAATTCTAACAGCTTTCAGGACATTCCAATTGCAGAGTTGAAGTAATTTAGAGTGAGAAAAAAAAAACTGCGTCAAGGTGGAGAGCTTAAAAATGTAAGTGGTAATAGACACCACGGTCCCTTCATCCACATCAGGAGAGTGACGACATCACCTCATCTTTGACACGTTCACAACGCTCCCTCTATCCCCGGCATCAGGCAGTCAGAAAAAAAGGCAAAACACTTGCACTAAGACTGATGAATAAGTAACTAAGCCTGAGTTGCCAGGTCCGCTGCCACCAGGTTATAAAGCTCAACACAGTCTCTCTAGAACACCACAAGGTACATTATTTATGGAGAGAAGATAAAGCACGTGCAAAAAAACTGGACCTAATTACCAGGGAAACTTTTTTTTTTTTTTTTTTTTTTTTTTAATCCTTATCAATCAAGCATCATTTCACTTTCAGGTCTTACCTACATACCTTATGGCTAAAATATTTCTCAAATTTTACTCTTGCTAATTCCACACACTGCGTCCAGTTTCGGGGTCTCCTACCAAGTGTTTTAATAACATGAAAACAGCCTTCTAAACTCTCTCCTGATTTTATTCTCTAGATAAGAAAGAAAACAAGAGTATGTTAAAACAGACAAAATTCCACACAACCCAGTTACACAGTAAAAAAACCATTTTGCTAAGTTACAGGCAAAACAGAAATTTATCTTGTAAAATATTAACCTTTACGTGATCCCTTCCACCAGGATTTTCCCCAAGTGTTATGGTCTACTTGTTTCTCCCTTCCAGACAGTCCTAGTGATGATGACCCATTAGAGACTCCCAGGGAAAATATAAAGCAATAAAGTTTACCGTATCACTTGAAAGTGATTCTTCCTTTGAGATTTTCCAGTTGACTGAATGTATATTCAGTTGTTAGTTCAATATCCACTATTTCCTAGTACACTAGCTAGCAGTGTCCCTGTATTTTTGGTATTTCAATATACATTTACAGAAGGCACATAAGCTAGACAAGCAGTCCACACACAAGATTTTAGCTCTTACTTACTAGACATGACAGAAATACTATGACAGATCAACTGATTAGTTTGCCAAATAAGGCTTGAGATTTACTAAGCAAATCAGAAAATAACCCAAAATTCTCACTGAACTTAAACTGAAACACATTCCATACAGCTTTAGTTAAAACTCTGTATTTTATCACAGTAACTTACTCCTACCTGTAAAACTTCTTCTGCAGACTGATAGGTTTGCCAGAATTTGTTAAACAAGGAAGGCTTGTGAGAAAATGCGCTTTCAAACTAGGAAAAAAAAAGGAGAAAGAACAAATATGGTATTTTACAAGAAGCACAAAGGAATCCCCACCTTTCAAATGCACAGTAAGTTAGGATAACAGCCAGTATACTTATTTTCATACCTTATCTCTTGCCCACTGTATCGTATGCTCAATTGCAGCTGGGAAAGACTTCAAGGTGCAAAAAGGTATTTCTTCCTCTGGTGGATCCCGCTATATTTAGAGAGAGTTGCATGTAAATGCAGGCATATTAAAATTTACTGCTAACAACAACACCAAGAATTTGCAGATTATTTAGGTGTGAAATTCTGCTGATGTTAAACAAAACCAGAGCATATTTATGAGGTTAATGGACTGACTGAAAACCAAATCTGCTTTATAAATACTAATATGTCACTTCTTGTTTATGAAGAACTACCTAAACTCAATATCATTCACCAAACTGTCAGGGAGAGGTAACAGGATGGGTGAAAAGCAAAACTGAACCATCATACAACTGGAGCTGGAAAAGGCCATCCCATAAGGGCTAAAACAAGGAGATTATACACCAAGTGTTTGGGAGTTATTTACTCCCTTCCCGATTCTAAGGGAACTGGTATGCAGCCTTGGAGATAGACAGACTAATGCCTACCACAGGCTTGTCTTTCTCCTGGCAAAACATGGGTTAAGAAGGAAACCCACGTGCACAAAAACAGATTTCAATCCCCTCATTTGACTGGTTTCTAATTTAGAAGGGAGATTTTAAGGAATATAAAAAGTTAATGAATTGAAAATACATGAGAATCAGGGCTTATTTCACCCAAATTCTATTGAATAGCCATCTCCTAAATACGTGAGAGGATAGGCTCCTCAAACTCACAATAACAACCCAAATTTGTTACCATAAAGCACATGAGTTCATGGAAAGAGCACCTTTCCTTAGCCTTAAGGAATATTCAAGCAGATAAATAAATAAATGGTGTCACTTCAAGCACAAGAGGTTTTATTACAAACTCATTCTCTTCCCATATTCAAAAGAGAAGCTACCAAGCTTTGTGCTTCATGATTTATATTGCAGTTGCTCTTAATTACTAGTCTAGGTGTAGCCACCAGCTAGGTGACAGGTATCTTATCTCAAGTCTGTAAATCAAGGAAATAATTATTTCTAAATCAGGCTGCAATACAAACAGACCACTTATTTTAGAGGGGTACATAAAAGATCCTAAAGAATCAGAGGATATTGTGGGGTTAATTAAGGAAGGTACCTGATGTTCAAGTGATACTTACATGACTGTTATAGGATTCTGTCAGATGAGGCACGATAACTTCTGTGTGTCCTTTAGTTCCCATCGTCCCGGAGTCTATAAGGGGACGCAGGTTCGCTACACAGCGGCTGGCACGGACAGACATGACAGACAATCAGGACGCAGAGCAAACGCTAGTCTTGACTTGTACATCGTACCAGAGGGTCACCAAAAATCAATGTAGGTGCTTTCAGAGTAATGAAGAGCTCACATCAGACTCAGAAACCAAAGATGTGGAATACAGAGTTATTTCTAGTTAGATCAGGACACCACTTGGGTCAATTCTATTTTGGATTAGGAGTTTTAATCATTCTCTTACACTCCCATAATTGTCAAGTCTAAGTATCTACTTTTCAGAATAAATAACTCAACTTTAAGACTATTACAATTTTCACCTTCTCAAAAGACTTTTACAGCCTCTCATTTCTATGGAGCGCTCGCTCTGAGGCTCTCGGACATGTGAACAGTTACAACAGAGCAACAACAGTTTCTCTCCACCATGAAACTAAGCCCTCTACTTCCCCCAGACTGCTGCCAACATCCTTCTCAAGGATCAAAGACAAATCCAAGAAAATGGCTATCAAATCTCATAACTACCTGCAATTCAGACAAATTAGGAACAGGTAAGGGGAGTTCAAATTAGAAAATCAAAAGCAAGCCCCACTTCCTTTCCACTACCTACCTATCAATGTATCTTCTCGCTTCAACATTGTCCAAAGCTGTCACAATCACATCTTGCTTGGTGTAGAATTCATCGCTGTAAGTGTTCTCAGTGGCTGGACAAACTTTATTAATATATGAGTCAATCTTTAAGTGAGGGTTGATGTTCAGAGTTGCTTCTGCTGCCGTATAACTTTTAGGTTTCTAAAAATATAAACATATATAAATTATATATATATATGTACATATTAAAACATTATTAGGATAATTAACATCTAGGTTACCGAAGTAGTGTCTTAATTTGCTGATCAGGCAACAATTCCCTATTATGGAAACGCTGTCATGCAAAACAAACTATTTTAAAAGAACATCGCTCCCTCACAAATGTTTTATTAACGTAGTTAATTCTAATTAAAAAAGAACTAGTGGGTCAGATACTTGATACGTTGCTGCTGCATCTTTTAAGCACTTTCTCTTTGTAGTAACTGAAACAGGTGCCACACGCTACTTCTCACACTTTCAAAATGCCGTAAGAAGCAGTTCAGGACTGTCAAAGGACAAACCACTAATTACTGCGACTAAGTCCAAGCAGCACAGAGATTACAAACCTACAAGCACTTCCATTGCAGCAACACATTTCACATGATCTAAAGCTAATATTCCAAAAACTTTAGCTAGGGTTCTAAGCTAACGTTAGACTGGAACTGAGTTCTTAACCTAACTCGTATTTCTAGCCCTTTTAAAAACCTATATTTGAGTACCTATAGATCAGCACTTAGGACACAGGAACTCCAGACCTTGTGGCTTGTTAAATTTGCAGTGTTTGCTTTTCATTCATTTAACAATCCAAAATGTAACTTGGTGACAGATTTGCTAGACCTAAAGAGCAAGAAGAGAATTCAGCTGATGGGTTGTGGGCTGGCGAACTGCTGTCCAGATGGGTGCTGTGCCAAGTACTGGCATCTCTTTCTGCTTGTAAGAGATTAACCATTTCTGCATCACCCATTTACTGAATGTACATATTTTTCTCAAGCTATTTACCTGTTTAATGAAGACTGAATTGAGACAGGATATATTTCTTATCAAGAGCCCATACAAACATGGGATTTAAACTGCAGCTCACCATAACAGACATCTTGGCCCTGGAGGAATCAAAGCTGTAGAACAGCATTTCAAAAACATCTAGGCTTCTGCATCCAGCTAACACTTCCACAAGGCTCCATTAATAGCTCTTCTGTCGAGGATATTGCTGGCACTGTCATCTTTCCCTCCTCTTGAATTTCAAAGGTCTAATAAAGCATTTCAGGCACATTAACTAATGGCAGCCTCTTATGCAACACAGCACTTTGATCTGATTCCTTATTTGCAAGGGGAACACAGAGAGACCAACAGTCTAGGTAGTGTTTAAAACGATACTGGATGAGAGCTGTAAAGCCCCCTCTGCACAGAAGCACACACAAGTTGAACTCTCAGAGGAAGTAGAGGACAGGAAAACAGAACAAGAGCACAGAAAAAAATATTGGACAAGAAAGCCTACCTGTATATGATGAGGTCGAAAAAGAAACTGCCTGTTGAGGTTGGATTTCTCTATCAAGTCTGGATCTGTAATTGTAACCTAAGTCAGGAAGGGCAAAAGCAAAAGCTGGAGTTATAATTTAAGTGTCATGTTGAGCAGTACTCCTCACAAAATCCAATAGAGACTTGTCAAGACCAGACACTGCTGTTGTCATCCACTGTAGCTAAAACCTCGGCCTATACCAGTGTTGGCTGATTAAAATCTACGCACAGCGAAGCTACTACAAGCTTATTCCATTCCTAGTTACACACTTACTCTACTTAAAGCTGAAGCCATTTCCCCTCTACCTATAGCTTAACCTGAAACAACGGCAAAAATAAACTTTTAACAACCATTTTTGTAGTCTTTTAAGAAATCAATCTTTATCACATAGCATTTCTTGGGTAAAGTGAAGTCAACTGGTGCAGGCAACTTACCAATCCTTTGTCTTGCCCAGTACCAACACCGAGAAGTGCAAAATTTTTTAACATTTCACAGCCTATTGCTCCACAGCCAACCTAAAGACAGTAACATTTTTGGAGTCAGAAATGTAGGTGCAAACCACTACGTGAAAGTTATGAAAGCAATTCAGGGTGGGTTAGCTTAATACTAGGACCAGCTAGGGGTGATGATTCTGGATCTGCTACTTGCAAATAAAGGAGAGATGGGTAGGAATTAGCTGCAGGATCAAGGAGGGGAGAACTACCAGTAGCTATGAAGCAGCAAATGCATCCCAGTGACTGCAGGATGCCTCCCAGTGACTGCAGAAGGGACCACGTTAGAGTCGCTTGCAATAAGCAGCACAAATTGGGGAACTACAGCCTCAATCAGCCCTACTTTGTTCTCCCTGAAAATCCCTGGGGAACCCTCTTGCAAGTCGTTTCTAAACTTACAATTGCCGAGATTGTGCCTGGGAACAGCCAGTGTGGATTCACAAATAGTGATTCATCCTTGTCAAGCTGGCTGCCCTCTACGATAAAACTACTAGAGGTTCGTATGAGGGGAACCTCGTTTTGGTCAGGCTTTGTATCCTCGTATCCAAGCTGGGATGTTATGGGGGAGATTGGTGGGCTAAAAGATGGGTGAAAAACTGGCTGACTCAAAGGGTTTATGATTCGTACTCTACCTGCAAGCTGGTTAGAAGTGAAAATTTCTCAGCACTGGGATCTATCCTGGTTAATAACTCAAATCCATTTTGAATGTGCCCTCATCACATTCACCAATGAAGCAGATCCTTATGCAGGGAAAGCAGCTGCTTGAGAGCAGGGCTGCCATTCAAAGGGACCTAAGCAGGCAAGGGAAAGCCCCTGAAATTCAGTAATGACAGAGAGAGACACGAGCAGCAGGGATGGAATAATACTTTGCTACGGCAAAAGAGTATTTGCTCAAAGCCTAACAAGGTCAGTCATACTCACCAAGAAAACATTTAAATCGTGCAGCTTCTGGCACAGAGAGTCTCCAATGCAAGCCCTCAAGGCATCGTATCTATCTCCCCTTTGCAAGCATAGGGAACAAAAACAGAAGAGCAGCAAGTTGTCATTTATCAGGTTAGTACCACTGATGCGGTCGGATGTGAGCTGAGAGAATCAGACTAAGTCTTCCTGTAAATCCTCCTCCTCCCATGCTCAGAATTAAGACAAATAAATTCTCACCTGAGAAACCCATCCTTCCATCAGATTACACTGAATTAACTTAAAATAAATAAATAAAGAGAAAGCCTGCGTGCGAATCAGACATAGTACATAAAACAACAGATTGTATTTATATTTACCGTGGGAGAAATTCTTCACAGTTTGTCTTTTCTAGCGGCGTAACAATGTCTAACATATCTATATATAGCTGTAAGAGGGGGAAAAAAATCAGGAAGTCATTCACATTGCTTTAGCTGAAAAATAATGTAGTATTTTCTGTATAAAGCCAAATCTGGAAATTTAAAGAACCAAGTCTGTACTGCCTATGGAAGACTATACGGCATTCTGTTACTTGGAATTCATTACACATTTTTAGAAGACAGGAAACAGTGTCTGGACTAAAAGGGGAAAAGCTAATCAAGGTCTGAGCCACAAGCTCAGAGTATTGTGAGCAGCACATTACTACTTCAGACCTCCTCAAGAGGACTGAACGATTTTTAAGATAACTTCACTCTTGTCATTATATCTGGGGTGATGAAAGCACTGCTGCTGTGTGCAGTGGCTTGATGCTTGCTTTAACTCAGAGCAGGCTGAATGCAATGCCTGGATCCCAGGTGTGAACGTGCACTTTCACTGACCACGTACGCCACACATTTGGTCTCAAATGCTTTGTTAAAGCTAGTGCTCAGGCTGGTTTGCTCATGTACCACTTGCACACAGTCTCTGCCACTCATCCACAATCTCACTGTCAAAATAAAGGTAGAAAAGCAGCTTTACCCATTGTTGCAACGGTGAAAATTTTCCTGTTACTGCTTTCAAGACTTCCTGGCTAGCAACACCACCCACTGCTGCAGCCAGAGGAGCTAGAAATCCCTGAGCAGTCCTAGAGAGCCATTTCACCACATCTCCATTCACCTGAGGCTGAAAAAATAAAACACAATAATAACAGATTTATCCCTCCACCCAAGAAAGTCAGTGCTCATATCATTCAACTCTGTATTTAGAAACCAGCCAACCCAGCAAGAGTCAACAACAGAAACATGGTCTTTAGAGAGGTAAATGAGCACATCATAACGCTGCTTATTCACTACTCACCCTGCTTTCCAGTGTTTCACTTAAAGACATGGCTATTTTCAGCATCTCCTCAGCATCCTGAAGGCATCTAGACACCAGAGAGGGAACAATAATGATCGCTTAAAAATTCTAGATCCCTTTGAGAAAAATGGTCATCCATGAACAAAACACTTGGACATGAACAGCAGAGTTTAAGAATGTATACTGGCTTTAATGGTGCATGTGAAAGACATGCTTCTAAACATTAAGCTTAGCTCAAGTACGAGAATCTCATCTTTTATTTTCTACCAAGGTTCAGAAGGTGTCACCACTATATTAGTAAAGCCTTTTTTCAAACTCAGATGGGCACAGGGTGACATTTTCCATCCAGGAAACTATTTTAAGTTTTCAGTTCTGTGTCATCTATTGTTGGATGAAGCAGGCACTATGTCACACGTCTATTCAACAGCTACAATAAAAGAGCGATCTGCAGGATTGCTGCGTTACCCAATGTTCGGGAGGCGGCCAAAGCTCTCTTGGAAGTGGTTCAATGCAAGCATGGCAATGTGGATCTGCAGGGGGGCCTGTCAAGACAATAACAAACAAAAATAATTGCTTATTTGAACAAAAATTACTGCTTCTTTGAACTATTGCTACCATTCAGGGCCTCTGCTCCTTAACTGCACAGTTCCAATGAAGTTTTTAAATAAAGAGCAATAAAATCTGATTTGAAATACCTTCCACTACTCATCAAAATACTACACAGTTGTAAAATAGCACCCTTGACACATACTCAGCACCCATTCTGACCAAGTCCAGCTAAGATGCCTCTAAAGGAATTGTGTCCTGCAACTGGAAAACATGGAGACTGTTTTAAATAGGATATTAGAACACATCCCATTTCGACAAATCTTAATACCAAAGACAAGCATTAGGGATCAGATGGATTAAAAAGACAAAACAGAACATAATTACACAAAAATAAAACAATTTTTAAAATTATTAAATAAGCATAGTTTAATTAAATATACGAGTGGGCCAGAAATTTATAATTCTTGCTTGTCCATAATAAATTACTAAAACTGTGCTAAAGGCAAATACTGCTAAATTCCTTTTGGATTTAAAAAATACCTCTCAGTATCTTTTTCCAAAGGGGAAAAAGAAAGTATCCTCATATTGTTAATTCCAGTCTCCAACCAGCCTATGATTGATCTTTTCCCTTCAATCGGCTTTGATTCCAGAGTGCTTTTTATCAACCAAACGTCACTCAGCATAGATGTAAATGTGTCATTTGCTACATTTATATTCCCCTGAATTAAGGGGTTATTTAAACCTGAGATTTGAAATAATACATTTAGAAAGACAGTTGAGCTTAGCACCTCAAAAAGTGAAATTTGTGGATAAAAAGCTTCTAATGGGATGTGGGATTCCAGTGTGGCACCACACACAAACTGATACCTCCCCTCTGATTTGGTGCTTTAAACTCATATGTAGCTATTACAGAATAAAGAGCTACAGGTGCATATTTTTACACATACAAAGCTGCAGATTATGTTCTATGTAGTTACACCATTAAAACAGTCGCACACAAGTCCCCACAAGCCAGTTACCTCAGGCTTGCTATAATCTGCCACGAGGCATGCTGGATTAGTTAGCTGCTTCTCTAACCGTTCCTGGAACAAAAGCAAAAAAAAAAAAAGAGTTCGTAATAATCACACGCTCACTTAAGAACGTGACAGTCACGACAAAACAACACTCATGCTGAAGAGACTGAGAATCAAATATCCTCTTCTGATACTTTGTTTTCTGTTATTCTCTCTATTATTAATGTGATAAAAGACACTTTAAAACAGTAAGCTGCTGCCAATTTGGTAAGTAAAATTTTCTAATAGAGTAACTAGCACAGCTGGTAAAAGCAGATCAACTTTCAGGCATGTCACTATAAGCATAGGGACCTTCCCCAAGCTCTCCAAAGTGCGGGGCTGCTTAGTTTTTTGGAGGGGAAGCTCATTTCAGGAATCGCTTGGAACAACAAGGGATCTAAAGTCTTTTGAGTCTTGTTTACACAGGCAGCCGCAGAGAGCTGCATGTAACTTCCTTCTTCAACTTCTGGTTTAATTGGCTAAACTTCTCTCTTCAATAAACAAGCATTATACATGTCATCTAACTGGCTCTTCTTCATGAAGGCTGCCAGGACATCACAAAATTGGGCTGATTTGATCTCTACAATTCTGCGTAACTTTGAAAGTGAAATATTCTATATTCTAAGCCATTTATTAATCAGCATTACTGTTCTTTCCCTAAAGAGGCAGTATAAAACCAAACCATGAATAGCCAAACCACAGCTGAACTGTGCTTCCATTCCTTAACTGTGTTTCACCCCCAAGAAACTGGTTTTGCCTCCAAACCACTTACAAAGTAAAACATCTTGGGTGTCTTCACTTGAATAGCTATGCCTCCATGTAAGTAAGGCTCCATATCTGTCGTATCACCAATGCTGAAGGAATAAGGCGACACCACTAAAGACAGAGGAGAACAAGCACTGTGACAGTAACGGCTGATTAAACAATTTCCATGCATACAACAAATCCATATATGAAAAAGGGAGGTTTTTGCTCATGTTTTTATATGGCAATTTTCTAGTGCAGAGCTTTTACTGAAATCACACGCGTAGCTGATCCTCCCAGTTGTAACAAGATTGTCCCTCCCTGGGAGGTTCTGGGCTACGGCTTTAGTTTCACATGATGGGTTATGAAACAAGCTTTAAAAAGCGGCAGCAGATTTAACAAGACTTCTTATGACCACAGTTCTGCAACAAACATGAAATCATCACTGCTTTTCTTCCAGCTGATCACAGCAGCACCCAGTACATTGCTCAGAATAACATTTTAGCCCAGGGACTAGAACTGCAAAGGCTAAAGGTGCCCTGCAGTGCAACTAAGCCATTTAAATCAAATTCAGTCAAAGGAACAGGATCACAAAACAAATGTTCTGTTGATTAAATCTCAGGACCTGAAAATGGAAACCAAACTCTGGACTTCAAGAAGAAGGAATAGAGCCTGGCATCTGCACTACTAAAACAAACCAAAGTAGCTCAGAAAAAGCAGACTCAGCCACATATTTCAAGGGTCTTGTTTTTATTCTGCACCACAATGTCATTAAAATACAAAAACAGATTGGGGGGAGAGCAGGGGGGAAAGGCTTTGAAAAGCAGAGCCCAAACTACAACACCAGGGCCTTCAGATAACTTCATCAGCATAAATCACTTTGCTCCAAATAATTTGGTCAGCAAATCAAGCATAGTAACCATAAAGGGTTTCCAGCTCTTCACATTTGCTTGCTAAGCAGGAAATGGAAAAGTGGGTTTTTTTGGATGGAAATGGAATTAAGATAACACTAGGATGACCTCCACACAGAAGGAGTTGGTTTTTTTGTGCGTGTGCAAATGCACCATGGGTTGCATAATCCAACACTTCTCTCTCTCCGCAGTAACTAGCACTGCAGTGAATTTAAAAGGCTAAAAATAAACACATATACAAAAAGTTAGTACCAAGTTTACCTGTTATTTGGTGTGTGGATCCATTTAAACATGACATTCCATTAACTTCCCGGAAGGTTAAGAACTGCCCTGTTTCAAGCCTGTGCGGATGATTTTCAAGACAAGTGACAATCCCGGGATTTGACTGAAAGCAAAAATGGGAAAGTTAGGAAAGAGCAAAAGAGTCTTGTGTGAAAGAACTGCGCTTTATCCTTAACACACACCTTTTTCTGCTGAAACTACAGCCACTAACACATTTACTACCTAGGTTCTGTCCTAAGTAGGGAGTTACCTATGATAATCCGTTTTCACTTCAATTGTTTTCAGTTGTACTGTGCTTTCCTAACAAATCTACTCATTTTTACTTTCACAGTTCTCAGCATGTTTAATAAACTGTACTGTTGGTTCTAAAGAGTCAGATTGTTTTACTCCATAGTAGTAGCAAACTGACGTACTGTTTCTAACTTCAAACTAGACTATGCTCACGAAGTAATTTTCATAGACAGCAGTCTCACACAGAGACCCCTCTGCAGGAGGAGAGTTTCTTTAGGAAGACCTTGTGGTGCAAATCACATCATACGACAGACAGCAGATTTGCAAGCAAGTCTGCCCTGTAGAGAGAGCCTCCTTGGTCTCCCAGGACAAGGATTTCTACCATGTAGTATGGAACTTCAATTAAAGATTTGAATCACAAAGCAAATTTGAACCATAAACACGTCTTTGTATGCATGGTTGCTAATCCATTAAAACTAATTTATCAGCAAGCTTATCTTCAAAGGATGCCATATGAATCAGAGAATTATCCATCTACAAGCTTCAACAAGAAAACAGGATCACTTTTTTTGCTGCTCTGTTACATAAATTACTCTTTTTGACTGCAACAACTGTCAGATTTTGTTTTGCTTTTTTTGCTTTTCTTGCAGGTAGTTTAATTTATTTTCCATTTCAATTTAGCAGGCAGAACCTTCAGGGCTAGAAATTACTTTGATCAATTCCACCCATCTAAAGGCTGCATTATCATAAACCTAAGAGGCATTTAATTCTGAGAGCTCATGGAATATTCACTGGTCTCCAGAGAGAAACGGACTGCAAGAAAACAAGGAAAATAAGGACATCACCTGGATCACAAACATTAAATGCAAATATCAAGTTAAGAATCAAAAGGGAAAAAAACATTATTTTTATCTTGACTTGGCAGGCAATCAGCACAAGCCATGAAGCAGAGCCATGTATGGTTCATGAAATTCATGGGAACAAATGAGTATTCCATTCTTTTTGCAGAGACCAAAAAACAGGCCATGCAGATCATAACGTCACAAGCCTTAATTCAGATCAAATCCAACTTGTTAAACAATCCCTTCTAGTTTGGCTATTAATATATTTAGACTGGAGATAAGATAAACAACTTGCTGCGAGATGAGCACATCTCTAGTAAAAACTTCCAGAGTTGTGAGTTGGAGCTTGTTATCTCCCTTTTATAAAGCACTAATACAAGAATGAGGAGATATCCTCTCTAACATTTTACAGTAGCACTACTAGCAATAATATTTTTGTAGTCTTTGCTTTCATAGGTTAAAACAATGAAGTTTCTTAATTTTGTTCTCAAAATAGGTTCTTCATGCCCTTTATCATTCTAATAGTCCTCCTCTATACCTGAAGCAGTCCGTGTTTATAAAAAGAAAGCCTATTTCCATACCTACTTCAGGGTTTCCCCAGAAGCCTTAAACCAATCCCAAGGGCTACGCCTGCTCCTCTCCAAATCTCCCTATTTCTTTCTCTTCCAAAAGAGGAGAGCCCCAACATTATTAGGTTGCATATTAAGTAACGAGCAGGAGACCTCACTATGCTCATGGTGTTAGCACGTAGAAATGATTGCTTTTAGGTCAAGATACTAAATGGATCTTATTTTAGATGTTTTGGGGGCTGCTAAAGTGAAACACTCTACATAGTTTTGTAGCCAGTAACAAGTGATGAAAGTGCAAAGTTATAGCAGCTCAAAAACTTCTCTCCCTTACTTGTGTGATGTTTGAAATGAAGATTTCCTTTGGCTCTTCTCCTGTAGTATCCAGCACTTCAAATTCATCACCAAAGTCACAAAACAAACGCGAACATATTCCATACACGTCTGCACTGATGAACTACAAGAGAAAGTAAAACCATCAGTACTCCTGACACAAAGAAGTCATTTCTCACGTTCAGTCTTGTCCAGTCTTAGAAGGTTCAAGTTCAACCCTGGTTCACACTAATCACATGCTCCCAGGTGACTGACTAAACGGCCAAGCACTACTGAGATACATTGAACCTGCATTACTGTTTCATTCAGGACAACTCAAAACTGAGTAGCAGCAATATGCTGCCCTGTGATTTTTACTACTTTTAAATTTGGTCTCAGCACAATCTCTCACAACAAAATTAGCAGTCGTTGGTTAATAATGGAGAAAAAACGGAAGGTACCCAGTTAGCAGATACATGCACAAATTCAGAAACAGGGATGAAAAGAGGGTCATTGAAAGCAGCATGCTCCCAAAATTCATACTGCTCCAAAGGGTTATCTGTGTAAGACCCACAAGCTGCTTTATCAATTTCTATATAAAACATGAGGGAGGTCCAAAATGCTTGCTTTAGGGATTAATCATGGTTTTCATCTCTGTATTACCTTAATAGGTGGCTGCTGAGCATGACAAAAGTCATTAATCTTCTTCTGCAGCAACAGGCTTGCTTCAGTCAAAATGACACACTGTCAACAAGAACACAGATAAGGTTAAGGCACTGAGAGCAATTAACATCTTCAGGCAATGGGAAAAAAAGCAGCAGTAACAGCCAGTTATTTGGGTGCCCTGAATCCCTAAGTTTTCCTCCTTACAAGGAGCATAAAAGTAGTCCTGAGCCATCAAGATGGCAGATGGAACAATGGGAATAGCTCCTCACCGCACCACAGAATTGCTCACGTTTCATTAGATTCATACATACACAACACATGCACAGCCTGCACTCCTGCTCTCTGGAATGCAAAGCACAAAACACAAACTGAACATCCAGGCAGTGGGACTGGGAAAAAAAAGTCGTTATCTTGGAAATAAAAAATATAAAAAAAATGCAGATCTCATTCATTTATTGTCACAACAAATGTCACTACTGGGGACATAAAATCAGTTTCAGCCTTAGAAAACAACAGTCACCAACCAACAAACAGACAATTTCACTTGTCTAAGGACAAGAACTATCTGTTTTCTCACCATCATCTCGAAATATATGTGTCTGTTTTCATTTATTTGACTTAAATTATTAAAAAATATCAAGGGAGGGGTGGGTATTGTTCTGAGGAAAGTCCCCTGTGTGGTTTCTTTGTAAACAGAATCACATACCTGGTATTGCTTTAGGAAAGACAGATCTGTGGTTTCATCCAGCGGCATAGTTGATGCTGCCACATGGACATACGGATTGAGTTCTGCAATGTGATGAAGTGTGGCCTCAGCCCTGAAAGAAAGGTAACTTTCAAATTTTTATTCATTTCTAAATTGTATTTTAAAGACAACTCCACGCCACGCATGACCTAAAAGAGTCCCTTGGGAATTCTGTTGGTGACGGTGACTTCAACTCATGTGGTCACATTTTCATTCCTAGTGGGTCTGAGGTAAACAGCTCTATTCAACATACATGCAGACTCAGCGCTGTTCTGGTGTCACAGCTGCCTGCTAGTCTGATGCAGCTGGCTGAAGAAGCCAAAATAAAAAAAAAAATACAACCTACCCCTCCTTCTCTCTTGCTACATCTGCATGAGAGCATTTGCTGTTTATAAATCTGTTAACCATGAGACTCAAGATGCAGGACTTGGTCAGGGTACCAGATCCAACCTACACTTCCCATGATACCTATCTGGGCACTGTACTCAAAGGCCACGTTTCTTGAGTACCTGACGTGTGTTAACATTTTGTAGCCAGTAAACTCAAACTGTTATTTCCAGTCAAGTTCAGCCCTTTACCCCATCAGAGATTTCACCAACCTGTTCTTCTGATTGGTAACATCATCTTCACGGATGAAGAAGTTGATCCCTAAATCCCATTTTGTACACTGCTTGGTGTCATGAACTGTAAGAGCCTAAGAAAAGTTAGGCAAAAGCATTTACTAAAAGGAACATACACGGTCACAGTACTCAAAAGGATACATGAAGCCCCACATGAAATGCTGGAGGACTAGAATTACAGCAAGGTTCATTGTACCATGGATAAGCACTACCTTCATCAACTTCTGATTAATCATTTCCTCACAGGCTACAGCGGTGTGAGAGCATTTAAAAAAAGCTTAAAAATTATTTTTGTTACACTGCAATTATATTGCAACCTCAAGCTGTAAACGAGAGCACTCCCACAAAGGAAAAGATTAAAGGGTATATGTCTAATAAAATTAGTATCAGGACAAAAGTATTTATTGGATTAAAATATTCTGCCACAAACCAAGTCTACTGGGTGAAATTAAAAGACATACATTTTGAATACTTTGGCTTTTAGATTTGTGTTACTTAGTACACCAGAATTTGAATAAAATCGGTCAATGTCTTATTAGCAGTTGGCTAATATATTACATGAGATATCTCAGAAGGCTTCTCCTCAGCATCACACAAGACGCAACTCCCACCCGCCCCCCAAGAACTCCCATACAATAAAACTCTTTTACATACCTTTACCCCAGCTAGTATTATATTTTTGGCTGGAAGAAAGAAAAAAAGAAAGACTGCTGTAGATTTCTAGCAAAACTATGTTACTTCTTTATAGGTGGACAATAACAACATGCCATTCCTAAGAAGAAGAAATAAATATATATTTATTTTCATTCAGGAACCGAAGATATATTATGTCTAAAGTAAGCTTCAGAAACATGCTGGGACAGTAGTGTTTATATACACTTGGGTCTGCTTAAGAAAATGTTGCCTAAACTTACCAATCTCCACACCAAGACCACCTATACCACTCAGGAACACATGGGACTGAGCCATCTTCTGCATTGCTGTGTCTCCAAGCACATATCTCTGGCGACTACAACCAAGATAAATCAAATCAGAACAAGACAAAAATCAATTCATGAATATAAGAACACAATTCCCAGTGATTTCAAGAAAGTTAACATTCTTAATTTTAAGTTGCTCTTGTTTTTCTTCCCCCCAGTAAGTTTCTAATCAGCAGTATCAAGTTCTGATGATCAATTATGCCACTAGTGACACATGCACATCTATACTTAGTAGCCCTCCATTCAGCAAGTAATTGAAGATAATCTATTATTATCATGAAATACTAAGCTAATAAATGCTATTGAAGCTAAGATAATAAAAGCTATTGAAACAAACCGTTACATGTATTTTTTTTAAAGGCCTCATAAACAAAAAGCAAGAAGAGCAGCTTCAGTGGACAAAGTGACAGGTCAGCTCTCCTTTTTTAGGAAAACAAAGCAAAACAGCCAGGTTTCTGGGCATGTGAACTTTCAAAGGGCACAGACATCTTAAAAGGATCACACTCTGAAGAGGACCAAACAGATCCAAAGAATATTTAAGTTTTCTGCACATCCCAAATGAGGCGTTAACAATCAGGAAACAAAAATCACAGACTTGAACAGCTTGTGTGGATCTGGTCCCCTTAGGTTTATCTACCACCAGTTTGCGAGGACAGAAACGTGACAAAATTGTCAAAAGACAAACAAATGAAAGTCAGAAAGAAAGCAGAAGCATCAGTCCAAAAAACATGCATTGCTGATGCTTTCCAAACTTCACTCAACTCTAATATATAACTGGGCTTTTTACTGGCCAATACTAATTGGCCAGTAATATATATATATAATATAATATATAATATATATATTATATATTATAAATATATATTTATATAATAAATATGTATTATATAAATATATATAATATATATACTTATATATATATATCACTGAAAAGTCAGGAGTGCACATAAAGTAGATAGTCTTACCTGTATAAAGCATCATCAATTTCCATAGAATCTGTTGCCATGTTGCAATGTAATTTGTTTGCACTAGAAGGATTACAAAAAGAAAGAATATGGTTATCCTGGAAGCAGTTTCCCAGACTGTACCCTCCCCTTCAGAAGGATCACAAAAAGCCATGTTACATAACAGTCATTCTGAACATTAAGAAACCTACAGATCAAAACAGCACTGAAGCATTTAAAATACACAGGAGCCAAAAGACAAGAACTCACAAACCTTCAGGTGATGATTTTAGAAGACACAGAGTATTAACTGCCCCACTGGGAAGTTCCAACATTTAATTCTTGTATTTGCCACAGTTGGAATTAGTAAACCTAAAATTTCCATTCAGATTACCAGCTGCAATTTGTTCAACTTTCATCTGCTTGATTGCTGCTTATTTGGAAGAGAAGATGAGGATCTCAAAAGAGCTAGGCACAGTTATTTATGCTGCGTTATTTCTATCCTAACCAAAAAATACTCGGGAAATTAGCTACCGTGATGCCTAACTCAAGAGTCAATATTTTTGACTCTCTGAAAATACTTTTGAAAAGTGAGGCATAAGTTAGGGAATACTTTCTAAAAAATAATACTTTTTATGTCATCCCATAAACTCTGAATTAATGCAACATTTAATCAAGACATCAAGCCAAAGAGTTAAATGGGATTTTAAGAGTACATCATTTGCACTAACAAGGCCTTCAGCAGGCGACGCTCTTTTTATTGCTAAATTACCTTAGCAGGGTAAGCGCTAGGATTAAAAAGCAACCCTGCCTCTGGGCAGACTGTTCCTTAGCCATGCAGCCTGGGAAGCAGCCTCCAGAGAAGAGCGCCAGGGAAGGCGCCCTGATCTGCCGGTGACCGTCACCACGCACCGAGCACAACCAAGCCCACGTCTGCTCCAGCACGACCTCTTACAACTCCCTACCAACAGCCTCTGAACCTGGAGATTCGCAAACAAGGTTAACAGCCGTCTCTCTTCATGGATGGATTCACGGATGCGAAGAGATACCCCATCATAGTTGTTAGTAATGCTCTCTGAGGGTTAACGTTTTCGCTTTTTCAAGGGTGTTTTTTGCTTGAGGGACGGCTCTGGCACACACAGCATCCATTCCAAAACACATCTCCTGCTGCCCCTAACTGCTCAGACCAACCTTCAGACCCCGAAAGTCTGGAGCCCCTCTGGGTTTTCCGAGGGGCTGGCTGGATCGCGCTGCAACTGGGCACTAGGAGATGGAGCTAGGCAGGGAAGTACGCCCCAAACATCCCAAGCTGAGTTATTTTACAGGCTGGAGGCCAACCACCGCACACCCAAAGTTCCCCCCGTCCCAGCACGAGCTCCCCTGGGATGGTTCCTTGGAGGGTGATGGCCAAACAGAGCCGGCAAAAAGAGCTTCATGGCATCACCCACCAATTGCTTGTGGTAACCTGCTCCTACAAACCCCGTGCAGCCCCTGCTCTGTCCGCTTCAGACAAAGAAGTGTGATGCGGTCAGAAATAAAAATATATATTTTAAAAAAAAAAAAAAGTCGGGGAGAAAGGAGGAGGGAAGAAATCATTCTGAGGTTTCCTCCTTCTCCTTTTTCTTCACCACAGGCTCGTCGTTCCTGGGAGGAAGGACTCCAAGCGGAGCAGCGCCGCGGCAGGCTCACGAAGCCGGGGCCTGGCGCCGAGGACCGGGCACCTTCCCCTCCACGGGGCC